CTCTTCCCATCACATTATGGCGATGGAGCCCTGCAGAACCCCACTAGCGACTGCTCTCCAGCCTGACGTTACTCCATTTACTAATTTTGATACTGGAAAATTACAAAGTCTTTTGACATTGTGAAATAAACTGTCATAATTCCTAAGATAGTATGACAACTCAAAATTTTAGTTTGAAAAGTGTTTCTCTGACAGAATTGATTGTGTGCTTCATGGTTTTACTCATCTGCACAGCAGTAATTTACAAGGTAAATTTACCATAATTAATTACCAAAATTAATGGTATGCTGAGTGCTGAGCAGAGCCAAGGCTAGCCAAAGACATATGACAGACTAAAAGAATTCTTAGAATTTTCAATTATAATACAAGATTACATCTCCTCATTAATGTAAAAATTAAGTTATTAAAAATAATCCAACTTCACCATGGATCTTGCACTCCTGAAGCATCTGGGGAGAAAATGTATTCTTCAAATTACAGATCTGATGATGGATCACCAATAAAATAAAGATAAAAGAGGAGGCTTTTTAAAAGTTGGTTAAAATCTGAAAGAAAACTTTTTTTCCCCAAATTATAAAAATGTTTATATAAGTCAAATCTGGTACTGGGGTAGAACAAGGAGTCCTTTAAGCTCTGCCTCAGCAAGAATAGTTCTGGCTAAAAATCTGAAAAAAATCCTGAATTATTTGACCTGTTCACAAGCCATTATACACTATCTAATCTAATGTTCTAGTGGATGTAAAATAAATTCCTAGAGCAGTATTTAATAGCAGTTTAAGCCAAAATCAGCTTAACTATATATAAGGCTTTATTGTTCATTAATGTTTGTCGCATTATATTAGGAACGACGATAAGCACGACCCTGACTCCCTTGGCTGCATTGTCCAAGAGAGCAAAGTTTATTATTCTTAATCTTCTTTTATACACATGTTCAAGAAGGTCTGATAGGTAAAACTCTCCTTGGTCATTAAAGCAACACATCCACCATCATTGGTTAAGTGGAACACCACCCCTGGACTGTTTCCTAAACACCTGCTAAGACTGTTGTCCTTCATCAAGGACTTTTTGGATTCTTTTGGATTCTTCCTTATGCTTTCTCAGGCCAGACAGAGAAGCCTGTGTGACTTAGTTTCACACAGGCTCTGTTCCCTGCTTACTTTTTGCATTTAGCATCCATAAATGTTTATTGAGCATTATTTGCTTTTGTGGCTTATAAACCAAAGAAAAGGTAGAGGTTGGAAGAGTCTGATGCATAATTATTGACCAAAAGATTGCTTCTTGGCCTTCTGTGTTGGTTGCATTAATGTTGTGCTAAACTGGCTCTGCTGGAAGTCTGACTTTTGACCTGAGGACAGCAGTGACCTGATGATGGCAGTTAAGCACTGTCTCAGCCACTTCATTATTTTTTAATAACTTAATGAGATGGAAGATCACAGGAAGCTGAATTCCATAAACATCAATGATCTTTGAATGACTCTAACCAATATCAGTGTATAATCTAGTACTGTAAATGCAGCCTGCCTCAAGAGTTCTGAGGATATATTACAGCTGCAAGGAGAGTTCCTGTGTAAGGTAATGATTTGTGATTTTTTGATATCAACGCATATATGGGTTCCCTTCATGGGTTAGTTTAATCCTTGTCATGATTGTCAGTCATTTTAATTCTAAAAATGTCACATTCCAATTTACTTAAATTTCTGAGAGTTACTGAGATTTCTGGAGTTTGAAGACTTTTTCTTTTTGTAAATGATAAATGAGACGATGGAGATGCTCTGTTAGGCTTGCCATTTGCAAATAATGAAACTAGTTGAAGATGGGGAAGTTGAGAAAAGATTTAACTGCAGAGATCATGAGTTTGTGGGACTTAAAACCCTGAAAGGACCTTAGACTTGAGAACATCAGATTTTTTACTTATTCAGGGAATCCTCTTGTCAGGAACCCATGAAGGACTTCCCTAGTGGGAAGCAGGGCTGAAGAAAACTTTGTGACCTGCTAGTATAACATCATTGGCACACACAGACAGGCCATTCAACATGCAGAAGGGAGAGGAGACCTTGTAGGAGGCCAGCATGGATGATCACAGAGGGTATTGATTCAAACATGCAAGCCTTTGTAGAAGTTTGGGATGAGGTAGGATCAGGGGTGGGCCACCCAGGAAGGATATGGACACAATGCCTGAATTCAGAGATAGAGTTAAAAAGCTCAGTTGGAGTTCAAACTTGTGAGGAGGGAAAAGGGAAATGACACTATTGTTTTTAAGTACACTGACAGCACAAGAAAATGTAGGTCCACTGCTCAAGGGAATGGGGGACTAAGACCAAAGAACATGGGAAGGCTGAAGTTTTCACTGACTTTTAAAATCAGTTTTCATGAGCTGGCTTTGCCCTCAGGCCCTTTTAGATCTTCAATCCTCCTTGCATAGTGGGATTATCCGTGGTATCCAAAGATAGTGTTAGGGAGCACTTAAGCCAATTGGTTGTACAGAAGTCCATGGGAGCAGATAAGATACGCCTGAGGGTTCTGAGAATGGAAACCAACATAATTTTGAGGCCCATCTCTCTTCAAAAGGCCATGATGATCTGGGGAAGTTCCTCATAACTGGAAAAAGACAAATATTACACCTGTCACAGAATCAATTGTGATGGAAAAGACCTTTGAGATCATCAAGTCCAACTTATGACTGAACACCACCGTGTTGACTAGATCGTGACACTAAGTGTCATGCCCAGTCTTTCTTATGTCTGTCCCTCCAGGGACAGTGACTCCATCACCTCCATGGGCAGCCCCTTCCAATGTCTAGTCACCCTTTCTGTGAAGAAGTTCTTCCTAATGACCAACTTAAACCTCCCTGGTGCAGCTTAAGACTATGTTCTCTTCAATGACGAGAAAAGGGAGGATCCTGGGAATGACACACCAATCAGCTGCACCTGGTAATGTTGTGAGGAAAACTGTTCTGGAAGCCATTTCATGCCACGTGGAGCACCAAGAAGCTGACTGAGTGGCCATCAGAGATTTGCCAGTGTCAGATTCTTCATGATCAGCCTGATTCCTGTCTGTGGTGAGAAGGATGGCTCTGTAGACAAACGGGAAGCAGCGGTGGTGGATACTGAGAGAACTTTGCTCGTTTAGCCACAGGAGGAAAAGGCTAAGGGAAGACCTTATTGCAGCCTATAATTGTCTAATGAGAGAACAGAGCTGAACTCTTCATTAATGCTTCATTAAGATGTGTGGCAATAAGAGCCAACATACACAAACTGGAACGTGGCCGATTTCAACTAGATGGGAGCAGTCTTTATACTGGATGGTCAAGTTATGTTTGGCGTAGTTATATAGCCCCAGAGGTTGCAGAATTTCCATTCCAAGAGATATTCAATCTGCAAACATCTCTCAACAGCCCGCTCTAATTGGACCTGCTCTAAGCAAAAGACTGGTTTAGATGACTTTTGGAGATTTTAAGAAATTTTCATAATTTTGTGATTCTGTAAGTTATTTTCTATGACTTTATAGCATTTTAGGAAAAAAAGATACATGATTTCTAGCTGTTTTTTCAGGAGATTTAAATAAAGGGGTTTTTTTCTTTTTTTTTTTTTTAAATTTTATTGTTGCATGGCAAAGTTAAGCCTTTTGGGCTGAGCTTTTACTTTAGGAATCATACACCACGCAAAGAATTATAGAATCATAAAATGGTTTTGGTTGGCAGGAACCTCAAAGATCAGCTGGTTGCAACCCCTCTGCCATGGGCAGGGACATTTTCCACTAGACCAAATTGTTCAGAGCCCCATCCAGCCAGCCTTGAACACATCCAGGACTGGAGCATCCACAACTTCCCTGGTTAACCTGTGCCAGTGCCTCACCAGCCTCACAGTGAAGAGCCAGCTGTCCTCCAGCTTAAGGCTGGAGGCCTTGTCCTATTGCTACTATGCCCTTGTGAAAACTCCCTCCAGCCTTCTTTCAGGGCCCCCTTTAGGAAATGGTCTCCCCAGTGCCTGCTCTTGTCCAGGCAGAACAGCTCTGACCCTCCCAGCCTGTCTTCACAAGAGAGCTGCTCCAGTCCTGTGATCAGCTCAGTGCCTCTCCTCTGAACTCCTTCCAACAGAATGTAAATAATTAATTCCTCAGTGGTTTGAATATATCCACAGGAATTAACTTTTTATGTAATATTTAATAGCATGTTTAATTTTAAATGATAACTCTGTAAAGGGTTCAGAGAAATCTATGGATGTTTACTTTTACCCTAAGTGCAATTTTTCAGTCTTTCTCTTTCAAATATATATGCACAACTAGATTTGACTACAGTAGGTGGTAGAAAATGAAGATAATGCAGGGGAAATGGTTTTTACTCATGATTTTTGTCAATGCTAAGGTTGTCAAGTGCTTTTAGACATTACTCACATTGATATGAGTGGAAGCAGAAATATTTAGGGACATTTTAAGCCAGAAATAGCTGTGAAATGTCTGTTTTCTTGTTACTAATACTGGATAATTAGATTGTTTTTCTTGGTATTTTCCAGAGGACATATGCAGTCACTGAAGTGGAAACAAATTAAGGCTCTTTTAGGAAGAAAAAAAACCTAACATTTCTTGCTGAAAAGAAAATTCTGTATTAAACAACCATTGTACAAATGAAAAATAAGTGTGACTGAACATACTTGTATAAAAAACATGAATAGAAAACTCAGTAATTTACAAGTCTGTAGGTAAAAGATATTTGAAAGTTGCTTGACTGTTGCTGTATATTTAAATAGTCACCTGTGACAAGGAAACAAAGATACCTGTTGACACAAGGATTGCTTCAGAAGGCTAAACACAAACCAGAGAAGCACTTAGAAAATTGACTTCTGCAAATAGTTATGGTGCCCTTGAGCAGGATGAATTGTATCCAGCCGTGTTTGTATGTAAACAGTATCACCGCAACAACCTGTGGTTGGTAGCAGTAGCTTTCAAGGCCTGATCTATAGGCAGTAAATTCTGGTGGCTAGAGACCTCCTGTTCCTGTGATAGTGCAATTTAATTTTCCAGCAATTTGTATGCACGCTAGCACTGAATTTTAAATACAGAGATAAGGTTAATAGGTGCTGGGTTTTTTTAGGTCCTTACTCTATTTTCCAGAGTTATTTTGGCATTCCTACCAAAAGGAAAGAAACAAGTGCAAACAAGAGGCTGGTGGGGAGTACAAAATGATGAATGTAGAAGCTTTCCTCATGGGTTAGGGCTTGTTCCTGAAAAACAGTGCTTGATCCTTATATTGAATAGTACAATGTTTAGAGCTGGAAGAAAGCAACTTTGGAAACAGAGCATTGGCAGAGTGATTAAGGTAAGGAAAACTGAATTTTGAACTAGGTTTAATAAATATATTATTTGAATAAAAAAGTGTGTATTGGTGGAGAGAGCATAGAAAAAAAATGTATGTTTTAAAATAGGTATAAGTGAATGATGTTAGCTGCACAATTTGCTTTGAAAGGCAAATTTGCACTGGGAGGTGTTTATGCATTTGGCTAGTGGTACTTGCATCTTGCCCAGGTTGCTACAATGGTCTGGTACTGGTATAATTTCACAAATGCTATATTACTACACTAAAGAGTTTGATGTTAGGTGTGGCAACAAAACAGGGGTTGCCTCTGCCATGAAGGAAAATAGAAATGTAGCTTCACTTTCCCCATACTTCTAGGATGGGAATAGAATTTTGAAGGCAATACTTAGCATTGAGGAACTACAGTAGAATATAGAAGTCATTAAGATACTTGGACTTATTTTAAAAGCTGGTTATTTAAGCAAACTGTTCCTGAGTTAATGCAATGTGATAACACATGTGCAGAGCTTGGATTTGTAAGATTTAAGAGTTAGCTAAGGGAACTGTCTTAATTCTTTAGGGTTTGTATTTTTTTTGGAATGAGGAAGTAAAAACATTGAAACTTGAAAACTCAGTGTGCTTGAAAATGTGTAAAATGGTTTGCAGTTTACTTTTGAAGGGAAATTCATGAGCAAGGCTTATGTAATATGAAACATCTTAGCAACCTAAAGGAGAGACAAAGGAATTCCATGCTGGTTAAATAATTTTGGATAAGGCAGTAAATTAACAAAATTAAAAAAAAGTAAATTAACAAGAAAACATTCTTACTTTTTGACACTTTCACTATTGAACTTCTCTGTAAAGTCTTTCTCATCCATAAGACTTTGACTTCAGCATGTTTAAATTCAGTGATGCACAATGTTCTGACAAAAAAAATGCGTCATTTGCTGGATAAAGTGTTCAGAACAAGTTTTATCTTGTGTACTTGTATGCTAAACAACATTCTTGCTAACTCTGTTCAGGGTGTCTGTATCAGCAGCTCAGTCTGTAATGGAGAAGCAGCAATAGTCCATAGCTGGTTTCTGCGCCTGTCGTTTCAAAAGAAGAGCTCGAGGAATCTCTGACTTGTGCTCTTTTAGTACATGCTGCTTGTATATATATATACTTTTGTAGAAGCTAGGAAGCTTTTAAAAATTTTTAATTTAATCTCCAATTATTTCTTCAGACTGATGGTGAGATGTTTATGGGTTTAAGTATATGAAAAATAGGTTTAGGAATCTCTCCCTTTTCTTGCTTCAGGAGAAGATGTCTACTGAAATTAGTTTCCTGTGCCAAATTATTGGTATTTAGGTATTAGAAATTTTAAGGGTTTATGTAACATAAAGCAAGCTATGAGTTATAGCTGGACTAATCAGCAGAAAAGGACCTTTCATTTAATTAGTTTAGCTTTGGACCTTCATCTGTTGTGGTCATCTGTGTCATATGACCTTTCTTACCTTCATAACCAAGAGTGGTAAAATAAACCCAAAACTAAACTCGGCCATGTTACCGGGGGTGTTCTTTACATGAAAAACTGAGCTGAAGCAGTACCATAAAAAACTTGAAAAACCCTTCCAGATATCTAAGTGAGACTGTTTATCTCTTATAAATACTGCATCCTCCTACATCATGGGACATTAGGAAGAGGCTTTGATGTATGACCTTGATCAGAGTTTCTGCTGATACTTTTCAGGATTTGCATGTGGGTATTACTGCATGTAACAGCAATTTCTGTCTTACCTGCATAAACGATAGTGTGTGTGTTTCAGAATCCTTCCATCTTCAAATCTTAGTATTTCAGTGTTCTATGAAATTCTGAATTACACAGAGCTGCCTATTCTTAGCTAAATTTTTTGTAGAGATTCTGTTTAGGCCTATGTTCTTCTGTAGTAAATACTGCAGAATATAAAAGTACAAAAACTCTTAGGCCATGACTACAATGCTGGTTTGAAGTGGGATGTGAGGGTAGCTAAAGTGGAAAGGGAAGAATGAGAGGTAGGAACCTCAGCATTTTCTTGTGATTAATTCTGTGATATTCCTAATTCTAAGTAAAGACTGTCTTAAAAATTCATTATTTTAGTAGTATTCAAATGGAAGCTCCAAAGCTAGACTGGAAGACAGTTTTCAGTGTAGCCCCTAAGTGACTTGCTATTGAAAGCACTGAAGTTAGGTGTCCTTTTCTGGGTACAACCTAATCCTAAAAGTGAGGCAGAAGTATTTTCTAATGACTGCAACAATTAATGTGTGAATTTGTGATTGAGCAACTCATTTCCTCCCCAGCTTCATTTGGGGAGGAAGTTTTTAGAAATGACAACTCATCAAAATATAGAAGCATGATAGCTTGAATTATATTAAGCGTTCTTGAACTGCATTGCAGCAACTATCAAGAAAAAATGTGTGGAACTTGCATTAGTAATAGAAGCATCCAACATATCAATGCAAATGTCTTCCAGTGATGATGTGTCGAAGTCTTAATCTTCATAAAACTATAGCTTTACTGTCGCAGTGGGGTTCTGAGACCTCTGTTTCCCAGCTCAGCCGGGTCGAGCATGGCAGAACAGATCGGGACAGGCATGATGGAGTGCCCAAAGATAGATTTTAATGTTCACTGGGACTGCATGGTCCAAGGGGCTGCTTCCAAAGACCCGGGGGCCTGGAACACTTCACAGTGTAAAGGGGTATCCGAGGGCAGGGGTCCAATCACAAACACAGACCAGGGGCATGACCTGTCATGAAATGACTCCATCAGCATCCTCCAAGCACCCCACCTCCCAAGGCTTCAGGTTTATTCCCTCCATCTCTCCTGGTCAAAGGTATTATCCATCCCAGCTAATTCAGTTCCCACACTTTATCAGTTAATAGTTTCCTGTTTCTCTAGGTATAGTTCATTAAGTAATTTAATGACTTTTAAAGTTTTGTGATATCTTAATGACTATTCTTGGTACTGGACTTAGACATCAAATATTGCCCAGTGCTGTATGAACAGCCATGCACAACAACTTGTATTTGTTATAGGGCTTGAGACACACCAATTAATAAAAAAGTTTTAAAAACCAGAAACAAACATCAGGGCATGATTTCTCAGTTTGAGAAGAAAATGTTCATGATTTCAGTCTACATAAATAACAACTTGCAGAAGAAATGGAGACTATGAACATGACAAGAGCATCTGTATAGGTGGAGCTGGTGACTTAAAAACCAGTGTAAGATGTAGTCATGTATCTCCAATGTATCTGGAGCTTTATGTTAGAAACAGAAGCAGAGTACTAAAGTAGTCTCTCTGTAGTTTAGGTAAAACAAAAGGCTTCTTTCTGTATTAAATAGAAACTAATTTGTAGAGTATTGGTTGCATTTTTATATTTTTTTATTTTTTTTTTTTTGTTAAATATGCCCTATCATACCATATCATGAACATAGATGTGTTCAAGTTACTGGAACAATAGTTTTGAAGATTTTTTTTTGTTATCCTCTTGCGTGAATGAAGCTGATTCAGACAAAATATTTGCTTTTTGCATGTCTAAGAAAAAGGAAAATTTCTACTCATGTTTAAAAACATAGGAAAAGCCAATCCTGTAATGACATTTCACTTTCAGGAAACTGGAGACCATGTTAGGGTATGAGAGAGGTAAAATAGCATAAAGTACATGTATGAATTAATCTGCTACTGTGTTCTTCAGACATACCTGTGTAAAGAATAGGGTTTGTATGTTTGTCTTTCACATGGGAAAATATTTCAAATGCATTCAGCATTTATGAAGGCATGGTAATAGCTACAAGTTTACCAGGTATTTGAAAATTCCTTCAGAAAGTAGGAAAGATATTTACATAAGGGTATAAAGTATATTATGCAGGTCCTTTTGGCTCTGCAAAAACTTGTGGATAAATCACTTATGCATACTTTATAAAGTTACTAGTTTTCTCCTACGCACCGAGGAAATAAGAATTGAATTTACCACCAATGAAACATAATTCTAAATTTCTTTTGAAAATGAGATTATATTGAATCTTGTAACCCACAAGTACAATAATACCAGTAACTATTCCAGAAGGCTATTTTGTCTGTAATGTAATGAGGTGTGTTACATATGGGATTTCAATTTAATTAGAAGAGTAGGCTTACTGCTTGAAGAATGGTATAATAGCTATAGTTAAGCACATTTGTAAACACTTGTGTACCTTGAGGCTTGTGGTTTGTTTTACTTCTCATTATATTAAAGAGATAATGTATAAAACCCTAGCTTCCTCCAGCAGCATCTGTCTTTATTAGAGAACGCTTACAATATCTTCCATGAATAACAAAGATCAGTCAGAATCCCGTCTTGACATGATGGTCATACGTGATTAGAATGAAAAGCTGAGATGAAGGACTTAGGGTACTGAAGGTAACTTGCAGAATAATGGAGCTGTACATATAAAATACCTTTCTTTTTCCCCCCACAAAGCCTTTCAACAAATTAGCTTTCTGTACAATGTTATTTATGATAGAAATGTTGTGATAAATCTGAAAATAGAACACCAGAAACAAACTGTAAAATTATAACGAAGTCTGCTTCTAAAATTTTTATTTGAGCACCATAAAAACATAAATGACAAGTGTGGAAGAATGTAATAGCCTTTACTTTTAAAAATAAATTTTAAAGCTTTCTTTATTTTTGTCTTTAAATTAGATTGTGAATTTTTCATTGTCCACTTTGTATTTTATAACAGCAAAAGCTCAAGGAAGAGAGGGAGGCTAAACGTGCTCATCTGGACGGCAGGCATGATTACTTACTGGATATTGTTGCCTCTTGTGTGAATTTGGACAAAGCAGAAGTAGAAGATGCTATTCTTGATGGTAGCCAGGTAATCTGATGAATTTGAAAGTGAAGCTCATAGCATACTTTGGAACTAATATTACCAATAAATTCTTGGTGAGATAGTTTTCAAGCTTCACCCTTGAGATTACTCAAGTCTTCCCCTCGAAAAATATTTTTCAGCATTTTTAATTAACTTGAACAAAAGTGTTCTTAATTCCAGGACCTATTGTAATGATATTGATTTTTAAATTATTAGAATTTCCCTTTTCCAGTGGTTATAAATAATATGCTAAAACCTGTGACTATATTTCGTAGTGAAACTACAGTGCGAAGTCTTCCAGTCCTTGAGTACGTAGCGCACAGAGGTTCAAGAGTCCTGTCCACAGCAGGTTGCATGTTGTTGTTTCTGTCAGGCTGCCAGCAACGTTTGTGAGACTACATTGCAATCTAGTTTAGCAAATTAAAATACTTAGAAACTACTTGACAAAATAGAATGGCCTATGTGATCTGACTGTGACTACATGAGGGCTAATACAAATTCATATATTGAGACATTGAAAAATTTCACTGTTTAAAAAAACCTAGGTAGACAGAAGTAGACCTTTTACTTCCTGACACTAAAGTAAACATGGCCACGTTTGGGTTTTTATGGTTTGTTTTCTCTTGTATTCCTTTTCCATCTGCATACCTTCAATTTATGCATTCCCATTTCAGGGAATAATATTGTTGAGAAACTGAAGAAAGTCCAGTGAAAGACCAGTAAGAAAGAGAAGGACACAGGGCACATGAAGTATGAGAGGAGGGAGAAGAAGAGGTTGAGTGGCAGTCAAATAGTAGCCTGCAGCTACTTGAAGAGTGGTTGCAAAGATGACAGAGCTGAATTATTCTCAGTGGGTATAGATGATAACTCCAAAGATAAAACCACATCTTGCAAAATGGCCACCAAGGGACCCTTCTTCACCGGGAGGGTAATGCATCATGGGAATAGGTTACTTCAAGTCAGTTGTGGAACTTCTGTCCTTGGCGTTTGTGAGACAGCCTAGGAAAAGCTCAAGATGATCTAACCTGCTGTTGGTGACACAGGAAATTGGCCTCAGGACCTCCCAGAGGTCCCAATATTTCTGTGACTTCATGAGATAACAAATCTACAGTGCAGAACACTGTCATGCACATTAAAAAGCAGAATTTGTTTCAGCCTTTGTGCATGCTATCTCTAAATGGGTTTTCTGGTGAACTATACTGCCTGAGAATAGATGTCAGATCAGGAAAATGTTGGCAGTCTCTATACTGGAAAAGAGAAAAGTGTAATAGTTGTTTTGACCTTATCTTGGAGGGCTCCAAGCCAAGATTTTCTGGAATAGTAGTTCGTTATCTTGGTGTAACTGAGGCTTGTTATTAATGGAAGAGGGATAATTGTGGCTTTCTTCAGGCTTCTGGTGATCTTTTAGCCTTTTTTCCTGCACTAGAAAGCACAAATGGTACCACCTAATGTTTCTGAAGATGAACTTGAAGGAGCCTTTTCTGCTAAAGATAGCTATGTAGTTAGGGACTACATAGAAGAGTGACTCAGATCTAGAAAAATAATGGATGACGCCAGGCTTTCAAGTGCTGAGAGATGGAACAGCATATCAGCATAAGGCAACTCAGTTTCTTCCTCAGACTGTATTGCCTGTACCTGAGGTTTTTGGACTGCACTACCAATACATGCTTCAGTGATGCTTGATGGCAGCCTTGAATTGATGAAGAACTGTGAAATTGTCCTGGTGCTTATAAATAAGTATATAAGCAAAGGCTTCCTCTGTTGCTGTGATATGAATAAAATCATTGACATATTATGATCTCAACATGATTTCAAACAGATAGAACGCATTAACAGATTCCTCACTCCTGGAGGTCTTCGTCATCTGATGTTCTACTATCAAGATGTGGAGGTAATGGATACAGGTAAAGCAACTTATATTTTCCTGCAACATGTTATTGCATTTTAATACTGCATATTTTATTAACATATTGCATGTTATGTTGTGCTGAGCAAATGTGCAAGGAGAAAGAAAATAGTCAAATTGTTATAAACCTTCAAGCAAGTCAGGTTTGGTCATACCAAGGCATTGATCCTTGCTCATGAAATGAGGATTGATGAAATTACTGAAGCTTATTAGTGCACTTCTACATATTGCTACTATGAAGCAGCAAAGTATTTCCTTGTGAACTCAGCATTTCTTGCCTTTGGGAACTAGTTTTTGATAATTAAAAAGTGAGGTTCACACAAGGTAAGCAGTGACAGATGCTCTTGCTCCTCCCCTTCAATCACACCACCTGTTAGCCCTAGAAGCCATCCACATTTCTTGGCGCGTGACCATCTGTCTAGGTGGTTAGATGGTGGTTATCTAGGCTGTTACATGACAAAGGCCTTCATGAGGCCCACGTTATGAGTAGTAGGGGTGTTACCCCATAAGTCCCTTCTGCACATACTCCTTTATCGAGTGCCCCCCTGTTCCACACTTCTGGGGGAAACCTCCTTCTCCCTTACCCTGGAGGTAGCTGAAGACCCCTGTGACAAGGACATCCTCCTTTTGCCCATGGCTTCTCTCTCCGTGCCTCCAGTGCTACTGCTGTTGGGACTAGCCAGGTGCTCTGTGACCTCTCAGAGCCTGTGACTGGTTGGGAGTTCACCCTACTTGGTTGCCCTGGATGTACATGAACAGCCCTGTAAACATATGTATATATAGCTGTATAAATGTGTTTATACATAGGTAAATATATACCTAGATGAATGTACAAATATGGATTTATATTTTGTGCATTTTCAGTATATATGTATGTATGTGTTTTCTTCAGTGTAACTATCTGTGTATATATCTGAAAGGGATGAAAAGACTATTTAATATGATATAAGCAAGTTTAATACAAAAAGTTTCAATGCACATAGAAATACATCAAATGAAAACACAAACCCAACCACTAATTTAGAAATCTGATGAGCAAGTTTTAACATGCTTGAGATGAAGTGGTGAAAGTATGATAAAGAGAGTGTGAGGCAAGGGTCAAAGCCTAGGAATCTGATGAGAGTTGCCCATGCCCACCCGCAAACCAGTCAGATCACACTACAGTATGGTATGATTTTGGTAACCTTTTGGGGTGTGGTGCTAAATGTAAGCAATATGGAAAGCAGTAGGAAAAAACCACACAAGTGTAACCCAAATGAATTCACAGCAAGGTGTGCACTGTAAGCAAAACTAGAAAATCAAACACAGGAAGAAAAAAAGAAAAACAAAAGAAAAAAAAAAAAAAAAGTAGTGATGGAGAAGACAGTGGGGGTTAAGCGAGTGGGCTGGAGACTAGCTTTGCCCACAGCTGTAAGTGTAGTACTATCAGACAGTAAAACTTCCACTATACATTTTTCTTTGTAGGTGGAGCAGAGTTTGTAAAATAATTATCTGTGTTGATTGTTCAGGGCTGTGGTTCACAGGCTGTCAAAGCAAAAATCTCAGTTGTTGTGGTGGCTACCAATTGGTAAAACTAAGTGAATTTTTGTGGCACTACATAAACCCTATTGGCAAGGGCACTTACTGTGGCCACCTCATACACAAGCTGATTTTCTGACCTCGATATGAACCAACCAACACTTCTGTGAGGGCAGAAGATGATCCCATGAGGGGAGCGTACAAGAAATATTGTGTCTCTGCAGAGCAGGAGACTGTATCTGTGAGTTCAAGAAGATCTACTTCAGAGTCTTAAGCTGGCATTTAAAAGTTTGATTTCTGTCAGTGTTTTGAACTGGCACTATTCACTATTAATGTGAATTTTAAAAACTTCTAGCACCCTTTTCAGTAAGAGTACGTATTTTCTAAAGAGACTGCAGGTTATACTACCTACTTCACCTCCATAGATTGTGGGAAAACTCAACTTTTCCTGGTCTTGTCTCTGTAATAACTTGTGGCACTTTGACCATGGCCAGATTCTAGGCACCCACGAAAGCTGCTCACTCGCCCTCCCCTGCTACAGCTGGACAGAGGAGAGAAAATTTGCTGAAGGTTTCATGAATTGGACATAAGGACTGGAAGAAACACTCCAAGGAAAAAACAGGCTTGACTTATTAAGTGAATTTATTACTAGCTGAATCAGAGCAGGATAATGAAAAGTAAAATAAGCCTTTAAAAACAGCTTTTCTTCCCCCAGCCCCTCCCTGCTTCCCACTGACAGTGCAGGGAGACAGGTTCTGGTCATTTCATCACCTGGGGTTTTCTTTCATTGCTCAGGGAGAGGAGTCCTTCCCCCGTGAGACCACGGGGTCCCTCCCACAGGAGACAGTTCTCCATTAAATTCTCCAGTGTGGTTCCAATCCCACGAGCAGCAGTCCTACCAAAACTGCTGCAACATGAGTCCCTCCCATGGGCACACAATCTTCCCAAAACTGCTGAAGTGTGGGTCACTCTTCCACAGGTGCAGTCCCCCAAGAGCAGGATGCTCCAGCCTGGAAGCAAGGGACCCCTCTCTCCACTGGGTTTCCCATGGGACCATAGCCTCCTCCAGGCATTCACCCACTCCAGGATGGGCACCACCCCATGTTCTCACCTCCTCCTTCACTCTGGCTAGATATAAATCAAAAGTTTGTTTTGATTTTCCTCTCAAATATGTTATCTCAAAGGCATTACCAGCATCTCTAATTGGCCAAGCCTTGGCCAGCAGCATGTCCATCAAGGATTGGCTCCACTGGACATGCTGGAAGCTTCCAGCAGCTTTTCACAGAAGCCACCTTCTGTGGCCCCCCTCACTACCAAGAACCGTGCAAAACCAAGTCATTACTGCAATACAAAGATAGTGCAAGTTTATTAGCATGCAATAAATCATGTTTTATGCATTACACCATCTACAGAGTCAGGTGATTTGCTGGTGACAGAGTCCTTATTGTACTTCTGAGGTATATGAAAAGGAGACTTCTTCAGAGCTGTGGTGAAAAAGGGGAGAGGGAAAGATGATGTGAACAGGAGGGTGGGGAGGGAACTTATGGTGACCACCTGATCCAAAATAAGGATCCCTGGGGCCGATGGTCATGTACCTGACAGAAGAAAATGTGCAGAGGTGTCTATCATTTTTTGGATTTTGTTCTTTAACTACTGGTATCAACAATTTACTTTTTCATCTTATTGTTGTAGTGCCTCACTGAGATGTGTAGGCATGCAATTTTACTCTGAGGTAATACGGAAAAGATAGTAACAAAGACGTATTGTGACCAAAAACATATGAAAATATTTTACCCACAAAGACTCTGCTTCTTCTTACTGACCCTTTACAAGTGTTGCCAGTAGCCTGAACATGGGAGCAGTATATTCGTGTTGGGGGAAGAAGAAAGGACAAGGAAGCCCCTTATACCTTCCTTATTGGTGTTTGTTTGTTTATTTTCTTACCCCACAAAGAATCTGCTGTGGCCTCTTTCTCCTTGTTTTCAGAAGCACCCTATCTTTTTTTTTTTTTTTCTTATGTTTACATGTTTTTAGGGAAGGACAGTTGATAACAGCTCCTCTAAGGTAAAATACATAACTACATTTTCTGATTTTTCTTTAATTTTCCTTTTTCAAGCAAGAGGGCATTATCTTCAACTGCATGATAGAGCCTATAAAGGACTTTGAGTCTGAGCCATTATTTAGAAGGAATAGAAAAACAAGTAAATGAATAGAAATGAAAGTCTTTTGATACAAGAATGGCAAAACTAGATGAGATATTTCTTACTGTGCCATGAGGACTCTGAATCCTGCATTCTTTCTGTGGATAGTTCCATAACGTGCCTCCAGGAGACCGGGATGAGTGGCACAAATAATGACTGATCTGTTTGTGTAGAAAGATTTTGCTTGAATAAATAATCGATGGATCTTAATTGTTTCTTTGTTTGAATCTGTAGAGTACTTTGGTCTTCCAGGAATAGGAACAAACTCTCATTTGACTAAGAAGAAGAAACTTAAAATATTTGTGACAGAGGGAAAAGAAATTGCTTTAACTGGTGTATGCATTTTCTTCATTAGATCTAATTTTTCTAAACCCATCACAACTGAGAATATCTATCAAGTAAGTCAGAGACTGCTCATCTCTGTACATAATCTTGTTTAAAATTCTTGTTTAAAATTTTTACCAGGGGGTATTTGCTCTCAGCATATAATTTGACAGCTCTTGATATGGAGGAATGAGTAAAAGGACACAGATGCATTGAATGAAACAGAATAAAAAGAGAAGGGAATGGAAGTACAGATACTACCTTGTGGCAGCAACTTGATGTATATCATTAATATGAAAAACGGATGCTAAGGAAGAAAATTTAAGACAATCTGTAACGAGAGAGTAATTAGTCAGTACCTAAATACTAAGGTGTTAAATTTCAAAAAAACTCTAGCTAATTCATTAGAAAAACAAAGATTATTTTGCCTTTGAAAGTCTATATGTAAATTGTATATAACTAAGTTTTTACTGGTGAAAGACCCTTGCATTTTGTCTCTTTTACAGGAAGTAAATTTTCATATGATGGATATAGGTCGAGATGGCTTATTAAAAAGTGTTGAGCAGTTGATATCAGAAATATTCATCCCAGCCTTACAGACTATGGACCATAGCTGGGTTGAACCTCAACAAGTTCCCAGTATTAAGCAGGACTTCCTTCGTGCCCTTGAAGCATTTGTTAGTCTCCTGTCAGGAACTCAGCAAAGTCTGTTGGAAAAGGTAGTATGTTCACATGGCAAATAGAAAGTGAGCTAGCTGTAGAATGTCTCTAGCTCTGGACCTTTTGAATTAACTGCTGTTGTAGATTACTCATAAAAATTGCTTTTGTTAAACTGGAGAATAACCCAACACTTCCGTTTATTGTCATCAGTAATTCATTATACTTTGATCTGCAGTTTTGGTATTTCTGTAGGTGCTTCTGTTCTTGTTTGTTCTGGGGCCAGTTCTTTAGAGCTATTAACTTCTTGACTCTCCAGTGGCTGTAGTCACTCTCAAATGTCGAATGATTAATGTATGACAAACTGTTCTTTAACTGGTTTGTTTCTACTCGGCTTTTGTGAAGGAAAGGGCATGAAAGCACAGCTGCCTGGCTGGTGAATTCTCAACATTCACTTCCACTCATGGCTCAAACCAGTTTAATTCAGACTATGCTGGGAATAGGAAGTGAGATACTTGAAGTAGGGTAACAAGTTAGTCTTTAAAGTTCCTAGATTATTTATCATGAACATTCAGCATTTCATATTTTTAAACCTATGTTTTAGGTCAGCCTGAAGAAATGTGAAACATATGACCTGAAAACTCTAAGAGGACCTTCTGATTACTTGATGGTTGCTAACAGCATAGAGGCTCTTGAAAAAATAGAAGTTTGCATGAAAGAATGGACCAAACAAATTGAACAGGTGATACACGGGACAAATATGAAATATGACAACATCTTATCTTGGCAGATGAGTTTAATCCTGTTGGTGTAATAGCTACCTTTCTATAAATTTAGATGAGTTCAATCTCTATTTTAAAGTACTGTTGGTATTTTATTTGTGCTTTTGCTTCTCAGTGGGAATATTACTAAGAGCTTTTTCCATCAGCTAGTGAATATAGGATACACAGTTTGGCAAGTTTAGTCCCCTGTCTTTGATAATTACTTGTTATTAAAGTACAAAAGAGTTAGTGGTTCCCAGTGGATTTAGTGAAAACAAAAAGAACACAGTAATTGAGTGAACACTATTCTCAGTGGTCACATTTGTACTTTGAAACATGCTTTGCAGGTTATTTGCAGAAAATGTAACTGTCTGTAACAGTGCTCTTGGAACAGGAGGAACAGATTCTCTTCTTTAACTTGGAAATAAAAGGACCAAGCAAAATGAAGTTGCTTATATGAGGTGGAGGCTAAGTTAGGTAATTTATCAGGCGAGGTTAATGTGTTAAATGTAGAATTAATCCATGGTACCTCTGCAGATAAAAATTGTGAGCATCACTCACTCACATTACTGTATGATAAAAGGTTCTTGCAGAAAATGACCAGTTGAGAAAAGAAGCGGATGACCTTGGACCACGAGTAGAGCTTGATTATTGGAAAAAGAAATTGTCAAAATTCAACTACCTTATGGAGCAGCTGAAGAGCCCAGATGTGAAGGCAGTGCTTGGAGTACTCACTGCTGCTAAATCCAAACTGCTGAAGGTTTTTATTTTAAATTATGACAAATATAAGGACTAAAAATGCTGTTTATACCCTAGCTCATTTTGATAATGTATGAAATAATGCTGGTGGGGAAAACATTGATACATCTTTCCCTTTTTCTTTCTTTTCCCTTCTCTGTTCCTTAGATTGACTAGATAAAGTTTAAATCTAGTTCAATTTATTGAAAAAGACTGGGAATCCCCTCAGTCTAAAGGCTGATAATGTACTTCATATGGGTCAACAGAAATAAATAATTTAAAATATTGGAATGGTGATTAAATCAGAATATCAAATAAAAAATATTTAATGACAAAAAAATGAATCCTTACATTTTTAAGCCTCTTTTTTATGTTGTTACAGTGCCTGTCAAAATTTTTTGTGGAACCATGTCTTCTTACAATGACAAAACAAATTTAAAGTCCCATCACCAACAGAAATTAAGTAAATAAAACAAAAAAATCTTGTTTCATCAAAATGAGATGTGAAACAAATACCTAGTTATATATCCATAATTCATATATTTTACAGCATCTTGACTGCACACTACCACTGACTATTTAGTTGAGTGGTCTAAACCAACTGTATGTTCACAGTCAAGTTACTGAAACAAGACAAGGACCTCGTCTTGGGAGATCAAGTATAATTCTGAAGTAAAACATCTGTGTTTTCAGTTGTGTTTAGAAGCTAATGACAAACCAAAATGATGTCAAAATACTTTTTTCTGAAATGCATGCTTTTGTTTTTTCAACTTCTGTTCTCAGAAGTGGCGAGCATTGGATATTCGCATCACAGATGCAGCAAATGAAGCTAAAGATAATGTGAAGTATCTGTATTCTCTGGAAAAATACTATGACCCATTATACAACGGCGATCCTGTAAGCAGAACTTTTAAATTCTCAACATAAATTTACTGAGACAAGCAGCATGGATATATTCTATAGGATGGGTTTGGAAATGAAACAGAAAATTTTACATGTGCAACTCCAGTTTGAGATTTTGTGCAGTTGTGGTAAAAGTGGCTTAATGGGAATTTCTGGCTACAAAATAAAATACTTGTTATTTTCATACCGTAGTGTCTATAAAGCTTTTGTTCTGATGATGAGACTGGATTCTGTGCTATGGGAGAAACTGAATTCCTTAAGATCAAAAAAAAAAGAAAAATAAACTTAATGCTATGCTAAAGATGAAGTTTGATCTTTTGTCATTGTGTTGGTGGCCAGGTCATGGTTAGACTAACATTTTTGGGGCAATTTTCAGCTTCTTGGGTTGGGAAAAGATCAATAGTGTTATGTAAATATTAAGACATAACTATAAATCACCTTCTCATAACATGAGAATGCATAGGATGACGCAAGCATAACAGGTAGTAAACAAAACCAGCCACCCTAAATCCAGGAGTGGAGGAGTTTCCCTCTCCCATTATCTGCTAAAATAGGTGGCAAATAATTGCTTTTATTAAAACTGGTTTTGCAACTTGTGTGTCTTGCTACTCAAAGAAATATGACCGGTAGCTATGAAGACTCAAAACTTTGACCTGTCCTAGCTTCCTCTCTCTCTGAAACTTTTTCCAAAGCCAAATTGCTTCCAAAGAGTGCTCAGGGCAACCATGTTTGTTTCCGTTTACTGGGTGATGTTAGAACAGTGTGTTCTTTCAGTGTTCCAAATCTACTATTTGAGTTTCTCTATTGAAAGGTAATTGGGTTATGGTACCCATAAAACCAGAGTAAACTTGCTACTGACACTGTGCAGGATCAGTTGAGCTGGCTTGCTTTGTGCTTCAAATGAAGGTTTTCACCAAGGAGAAAGGGGTGCCCACTTTGGAGGTGTTTAGTTTTCGCCATGGTGTAGCACTTGGGATGAAAGCCATAGAGGCATGGAGTGTGAAGCCTTTCCCTTACTGATATTTACCTGTACAATTTTGAGAATGAGTTTGTCAACATAATAAAACTGTCATTGCTTTAGAAATTCAGATGTGATGAAGAGCTATCTGCAAAATCTTTGTCTGGTCTATTTTGTCATTTGGTCAATTTTATGGATTGAAGACAGGACTGCTACAGTTTTGAAATGATACTTTTAAGAAAAGTATTTAGTAAAAGATATTTGTTGTATACACAAAACTTACTGAAGGCCACATGGGATACAAAGAATTAAAATGTGTGTGATGGTGTGACCTTGGCTATTCATCAAGCGTTCTCTCAATCCTCATACTCAGTAGGATGGGATGAGAATATAATATGAAAAGGCTCATGTATTTTTCCATGACAGGAGCATCACTCTTTATAATCAGGGGCAAAACAGACTCAGCTTGGGGAAAAATATCTTTATTGACAGTGAAATACATTTGGGTAGTGACAAACGAAATTAGAAATTAAAGCCACATATCTCCACCACCAGGCTCAGCTTCACCCCTTCAATCCCTGTTTCTCTTCCTTCTCTTTCCAAGTGGTGAAGGGGTTCTCTTTATATGCAAGCTCACATCAGGTTCAGCAACTGAGCATATAAACACACTTTCTTTGTTAAAAAAGGGGTTCTTTTGAAGAGGCCTTCTACCAAAATTCACTCACTGATCTGAATTGTTCCAGCCAAGATTCTAGTGAAAATTTTCCCCCAAAATTAAATTGTAGAGCTTGGAGAATGACACAGGATAGGCAGCTCTGTGGGAGAAGTCCAGGTAGACAGGGACAGAACCATTCCAAAGACCATGTTCATAATTCTTCTGCATTCACTAACTAGGTATTGTGAGGTACTAAGCAGACTTCAGACTGTGTGTTTCTTTCCAGGTGTCCATGCTGGATTCTATTCCAGGGCTCATAAATGCAATTAAAATGATTCAGAGTATCTCTCAATATTACTACACTTCTGAAAAGATCTCCTCACTGTTTGTGAAGGTTGGTGCTCAGTGGGAAAAGAAATATTCCCAGATTGTTTTCTGTGTTGTTGCTTGAGTGCAAGAGAAAACACAAAGGAACCAAGCAATTGGAGAGGCAGCACTTTATTGCTGCTTTTTGAACACATAAAGAATTGGAAATAGCGATAAACTACTTCAAATTGTTATTGTTCTACTGCTGTAATTTGGAGTTGTAGGAACATTTTCAGATTTAAATCTCACCTCTGATGTACACAGAGTAACTTTTTTGTTACAAGTTTTGCCTGTTATGAGTGTTTTTTTTGTAGAACCAAATACTTTAAATTCATGTTGCCCTTAAACCTCCACATGTTTGCATAAAGAAGGAAATGGATTGGAAAGACAACCTATTCTTTACCATTTGTACTCTATGAGCTCTTGATTTTACCTTTGCCTATAGAAGAGATGAAGTCTTATGACTTTGTAGCCCTCAATGCTATTTCAAGCTTGGTACAAGATGTGTAGGTTTAGGATGAGCATAGTTAATCAACAACATTTTTGTCATGTCACGTTCTGGAGGCTGGGTGTTGCAAGGACAGTCTATTGATGTGGGTGGTATTTGGTACTGCTATTTGTCAGGCTTTAGGTCAGTGGAGTCAGAGGAATGGGATGAGACTGAGGGAATGGCATGATCTGCTTTGTCTTGAAATGCTGGCTTTTATCATGAAGTCAAAACTGCTTTTAGGTTACCAATCAGATGATCACAGCATGTAAATCTTATATTGCAAACAATGACACAACCACCATCTGGAATCAACCGCAGGAGAGAGTTGTGGAAAAACTACAAGCAGCTATTAGACTTAAACAGGTAGGTGGGAAGAACATATAGAAAATATTATAAGGTGATATTTAGGAGAGCAAGAATAGGAAGATTTTATATGAGAATGCACTTTTATCTTGAAGAAAATGAGTTAACTGAAAAATGTCCACTGGAACTGGAATGTTTATGCTAGAGCTAACAAGGAATTTAATCTGTTGCCTGTTGATCTTCTGGAAACAGAATTTTGATGCTTAGTCAATCTTAACTATGCTTATAAGATAATTGTTTGGATTTTCATGCCTGTGATTCTCTAGCTAGTGTCTTCTCACTTGATGTGGAGAGTTATGAAAAAGAAATTAAAACAAGGAGTTATTGAATTGAATATATTTCAAAGATGTGTGGACAAGCTGTACATTTAGAAAGGGCAATTTAGTGAACTAAGAAAAATACAGCTGTTCAGTTTGCCTGGACTTGTCAGGAAGATAGCTTTGGGTTTTTTTTAATAACCTTCTGTGATAATTTTTTAATTTTATTTTTCTTTGTTCTTTTTTTTCCCCCTTAAAGCATAGTATTGTACAATAGTTTGGCTTGAAGGGGCCTCAGCAGGTATCTAGTTCAAGCTTCTATTCAAATCCAAAGCAGGGGCAGTATAAGATCAAACCTGGTTTCCCAATCCTTTATCCAGTCCTATCCTGAGGTTCTCCAGGGATGGAGAGATTGTACAGTCTTTTTGGGCAGCCTCTTTAACTGTTTGACTGTCCTGGGGATGAAAGATTCTCTCCGTATATCCAGTCAGAACCCCATCCATTTCAATTTATGCCCTTTGCTTCTTGGCTTCTGTCCACGAGTTACTGTGAAGAAGACTCTGACTCTCTCTTTAGTCTCTTTTCTCTACATATCGTGAGCTTCATATAGGCTTTCTGCATTATTTTTTTTTAATTCCTAATATGTGCTTGCAGGACTAGAACTTTATCCTAGTATCTCCTGAAGCAACAAATCTTACCTAATTCTAACATAAATTAGTGTAAATTTGTATGACATTTTACCATCAGCAATGAGCACTGAACTTGTATTTTTCTATAAAGATGTATCAAATTGTCCAGTTGCTGCATGAAAATATTTTGAAAAATTAGGTATTCATTTGAGTCTTATTAGTTCCAGAAGCTTTCAGAAATTCAATAAATTAAAACTTACAATTTGAATCACTAACAACATAGCAAAATCTGGACACTTTGTATTGATATCTCCAAGTGGGATTAGGAAAATCTGGACCCTTTGAGCTGATATCTCCTAGTGGATTTATTCATACATAAATGTGATAAAGGAATGAACATTTCATTATAAAGAAAACCACTTGAAAAAAACGATTTCAAGCAAATATGTTGACTATTTACTTTGACTTTGGGAAGACTTTAGCATGTTTGGAGTAAGGTTTGTGCCTTGTTATGAATGTAGAATGAAAAGTAGAAGCTGCTATGGTCTGGCATTAAAACTTAAAGAAGTGATTTACTCTTGAAAGTGATTTTTGAACCTTAATTACTCAGTAAAACTTCTCAGCATGTATTTTCAGTCTCTGGAAACTGAGTTTTCATCTTGGTTAATCGGGAAACACATCAAACCCTGCTATGAAATGGAGGGAACAGAATTTCATGCTAGATAAAGGCATGTACAAATACACATACGTGCAGTTCAGTCATTTGGTGAAGTGTAGAATCCTTTAATGGCATTGATGGGTTAGTTTTCAGAGGTAAATTCTGTTACTCTCTTTATAGTATTCATGATTGTTTATTGATGCAACTTCTACTAGCTATCAGGTTAAGATAATAACCTTGTCTATGTAAATTTTGTTCTGTGACTTTTGTTATATGCTTGACCTTCTTTTAAATTCTGTGTTTTAAGGAGTATCAAAGTTATTTCCACAAGATAAAAGAGAATTTGGAACAAAATCCAGCTGGAAGACAATTTGATTTTAGTGAGATGTATATATTTGGAAAATTTGAAGCTTTTCATCGTCGTCTGGTAAAGATAATAGATGTTTTCAATACTATGAGAACCTACTCAGTTCTACAGGAATCTAAGATAGAGGGATTGGAAGAAATGATCACAAAATATCAGGTACACATCAGCTTTTGTATATTGTGTTAGTCTAATTTGTACCTTTAAAACAAAATTATGAAAATTAAGGAAGTGTTTATTGAGAGAAAAATTAACTCTTTAGTTGTGCTAAAATTGCTGGGTAATTGCAATGTAAATATGTGATTACTGGGAAAATGAGCAGACAAGATGAAAGAAAAGGTGCAAGTGGACATGTGAAAGAAGTATGCTAAAATCAAAGCTGATTGAAATAAGCAACAAAGTGTTGTAACTCTATAACAGGAGTAATAGGAGCATGGTTTTGTGCTATGATCAGGAGAAAAAGTGAGAAGTGCTACATTTCTGTCTCAACAAATGTTGGGCTAACTGTAAGTGCCCCTTTGCTCCTTTAGTATTACTATGCAGTTTTCTTTCATGATTTTTTTTTAAGAGAAGTGTGACTTGAGCAATAAGGAGACCTTCTAAGAACATAAATATGTTAAGTCATATTCTTTTCTTTCCTTCTTTCTCAGATAGCTTTCTTTGCCACCAAATGGAGTCTTTTCTGCTTTTACTGAGCTTGAGTTAGCTTTCTTTTTTGAGTAACTATTAGTGCAGTATCATAATTATTGCCTCTGTAAATATTAAAATAAATCAAAAGTACTCAATGTGAGGACTTTGTAGATAGCTTTTTGGGATCACATATGATACAGTGGCTGTACAGGCAAATATGGAATTCTAGTTTGCTATACTTTGTCCTTTGCCTTTTTTTTATGGTCAGGAGTCAATCAGTTTGCCTTAGTGAAATAACTGTAGTATAAAACGTGACCATTCTGTGGTCCTTCATGGTTTGCTTTACTCCCTCTCTAGTCTGGGGTTTTGATTCCTTTAATACATCCTTCACAGCAGCCAGTTTTCCACTTTGTTCTGTTCTGTAGTCTACTGAGAGTTAGCCAGGGCACAGCTGTAAAGATAACAAGACTCTTCCATGTGGCCAGGACTGCTCTAAATTTTGTTTCCAAGGGCTGCTCTCCAAAGCTGTGCTACCAGGCTTCTCAGCAACCCAGGTTGCTCAGAATTTACAGATCATGCAATTAAGGTACTATTTTGGTAGGCTGGAACACAGGAATCTGATTTGTTTGGGGCATTTGTGTTTGAAAAGCTGCCTGTGACCATCAGCCCAGGCTGTGAAGAAAACTCTATACAAGTGCACCTCACTATCCATTGCAGCACCCAAGTCCTTAAACATGAGCTTTGTGTGAGACATACCTGCTGTAGAGTCAATTGTGCTTTGGGATGAAGAGTACTTAGGTAAAAAATGTTACACGGAAGGCTCTGGATAGGTTGTGTAAAGGGCAGCCAAGTGATTGCACATCTTTTTAAAGTGACAAAATTGAAGTACTGAAGTATTTGATATAGACCATAGCTATAGTTATTATGTTACTGATTACATGTCTTAAATTTTTTTTACAATAGGAATTTACTATTTTGCTGTTCTTTATGCTTTAACACCTAGTCCCTATCTAGGATTTGCTTGTTAGAGGAAAATATGGAATTTTTATTTACAGCAATGAAATGAAACTGAGTTTCAGTTGACATACCGTAATATGATGGAATTCAGCTGAGCTGAAAATATGCTGAGTTTCATAGCTATACTGTGGTAAACTACTAGGATGTTGAACAGTAGTTTATCATTAGAAATCTTTTATCTGTGTGTACAGCTCAAGGGATATGCTGATTAAGATCTACTTTGAAGTGTGTGGACAGCAGCTGTGTAAGCCAGGAATACTAAATTGTAGGCTGGTAATGTGCTGCATCTTACTGTGCTTTTTGAATAGACTATATACACATATGGAATCAGTTGTTTAAAGGACATGGAAAATAATAATGTGAAAATACTTTTCTCTGTTGAATGTTAAGTTTTGAAACTAAATGAACATCTGCATGACAATGCTTAATGAGTAAAAATGTCTTTGATGAAAAGCAAGTTTGAATTTTCTGTCAGTTCTAATTGACTTGAAGCAGAAATAATATAAATGAAATTCGAATGGACATTACACCAACTGGATTCCTGCAAATATTTCTTTTAAAGGGTTTGCTTATATTACTCAGTAATTACTGGGAAATATTAGCAAAGGTAAAGTGTGAGTGTATACAGCCTGTTGTGCTAAATGTTTGGTGTGGTAAGTCTTTTTCATAAGACATTTTTGGTAATAGTTTTCTTTTTCTGTGAAACTGTTTAGAGCATTGTTGACAACATGAAGAATAAGCATTATGATTTCTTGGATCAGCGGAAGACTGATTTTGACCAAGACTATGAAGAGTTTTACAAAGACATAAATGATCTTCATGTAGGTTTTATGATACAATTAAGAATTTAATTTACTGATTAAGCTTTATTATACTCTGAGTTACCATCAGAAAAATTTTGCAAATCTCAAAGTTTGTGTTCTGAAATTAAAAAATTATTCTAATATATTTCCACTTTAAAGCTTCCATTTATTATCTTTCAGAGTAGTTTAATGGAATGGGCCATTGAGGAGCCTCCAACAAAAGGATTTTTCATTCCTGTATGCTGGCAAGAATAACTAAAATGAGTGATTTCATTGAGTGAATAGGAGCATAGTACAAATAAGTCAGATAATTAACTTTCCAATAGTTCTGAAATCACATGTTGGTGAAAGAACAGAGTATTTCCAGAAGAAAAAAAAAAAAAATTAAAATAAATGCTGGTCTTGCTTTGGCTGCCAAAAAGGTAACCAAGCATTCTTCGAGGCCTCAGCATGGTACAACATTGGAGGGTACAGAAACTTTTGCTGGTTGCACAGCTACAGAGGGAACTTGGAAAGAAAATGCCTTGAAAGTTGGCTGTGTTTTGTTTAATTATTTTGGGAAGAAAGGGAAAAATAATACTTATTGAGAGAAGTTTCACGTAAACAAATTATCTTCTAATGTATCTCAAGTTAAATCCTGTCAAGTAATACTTGGCATATTTGATGTGTGTTCCTTATGGACTTCTCCAATGCAGAATTATTTACTCTTCTTCAGGATCAATTAAGAAGTTTCATGGACATCACCTTTGAAAGTATTTTGAACACTGAAAGGGCACTGAGTATGTTGCAGAAATTTGAAAGGTAATATGTCCTATTTAGATTGCTAAAGCTCTGCCAGGCAGTGGAAATAAGACATTGAGGATGGTGGAAAGGGCAGGGGGAGGGGGCTGCAGAGCAGCAGGCATTTTCTTAAATACAAAGGAAACCAACTCAACCTTTTTACTCTCAGCTTTTCAGCCCTGTTAAGAGTTGTCTTAGTAGCTTGAATGAATAAAATTTTAATAATTTTTGTATCAGAAAATGCAAAATATAAGTGGACTTTGAACTTCATCTTTTAAAATCAGCCTGAGGACAGGGAATCTTTGTCTGTTCAGAATATTTGCATTAGCTTTGTGTTTGAACAATGCATTCATTTGTTACCACAAGACAGTCAGAAGAGAGTAAAATGCTTTTATTAAGAAACAGTGAAATTTATCTTTATAAATTAACATTGTTGCAAAACAGTCTCACTCTTTTTTCTGCCAATTTTTGTATTATACTCTGTTTAATAGAATAGACAGCTAGTTGTGAATTGGTTACAGTTTGCTGCACATTATTTCAGCCCAGTGCTTGAAAACAGTGACAAAACAGAAAATGTGTAGGCTTACTTGGAAACTTTTATCATCTGGTCTAAATCTTTGTTGCTTGGAATCAGGTTGTGACAGCATTTGTTCAAGCTGAAAACTCTGCTGCTGAAGTAGTTATTTTCTTAAGCATGCAAGGGAATCTGGAAGGACTGTATTTTCCAACAATGCATTAGAAGGATTTCAGAAGTGTTGAAGGCATTTCTTCATGATTATTATTTTCTAAGCAGATTGCAAATCCCAAATCTTGGCATTGATGAGAAGTATCAGAAAATATTTCAAAACTATGGCCATGACATAGAAACAGTCTGTAAGATCTACACTAGGCACAAGAAGGACCCACCACTGGCTCGTAATCTGCCTCCAGTAGCTGGCAAGATCTTGTGGGCACGCCACCTATTCCATAGGATCAAGGAGCCCATGGAGACTTTCCAGAGACATCCAGCAGTTCTGCGAACACCAGATGGCAAGAGCATAATTCGCAATTACAACAAAGTAGCAAAAGTTCTTATGAAATTTGAAGTGATCTACCACAGAGAATGGCTTCAGCAGGTAAGGCAGCTGATTTTGATTAAGAGATTCCTTAAAGAAAAAATTTAAAAATGGTGGAATCCCTGGTTAGCAGCAGTAATCAGGTATGCTTAACTATAGACTTACAATAACTCTCAAATGAGGGATGGAATAAGAAAAGTTATTTTACAAGAAAGTGTTCCTGTTAAAAAAATAGGGCCTGTAGTACTTCTAGCTGAATTTAGGAGCAACTGAAAGAGCTTAATTATAACTAACAAGTTATAATAAGATTTTTAACAATTATAACAAGACAGAAAACATAAAATGAATATCCAGTGGAAGGTTTAGCTGCCTCTCTGTCTCTGCCATATTCTTTTGACTGGTGCAAGATCATCATGTGTGGGGAGAGGGGTTTTGTCAGCTAGCTGGCTTAAGGTGAAAGCAGACACAGAGATTTCCTCTGCTCTGGACAATACAAATTTTATTCTGAGTGATAATCCATGGGTACACTCTGTAAATATACATGTAAAAAGCATCCAGTCTGAACAGATAATAGCATACTCAGTGTACCACTGGGCTTTGAGCCAGTTGTGGGTTAATCCTGAAAAGCAGCTAAGCACCACACAAATGCTCCTTCACTTCCCCCAATGCACCCCCAGTGAGAGGGAAAAGGAAAGGAAAAGCAAAAGCAAGAAAACTTGTGAGTCAAGGTAAGTTGTTTAGTAAGTGAAGGAGAAATGGAGAAAGAAAAAGAAAGGGAAAATAAAGTGCTGCAGAGGCAATTTCTCACCATCTCCCATGGGTCAAACAACGTGTAACCAATTCCAGAGCAGAGGGTGGCTAACCCCTTCAATCTCTGCCTTTCCCTTTTTATTGCTGAACATGATGTTATCTGGCAAAGACTATCCCTTTGCTTATTTTGTAGCATCCTTTCATTACATCTGCCTGGTTTTGTCCCCTCACAGCCTCTTTTGCACTGTTCATCCCCACTTCCAAGCCCCAGTCTACTCACTGTATGGACACAGTGAGAACAAGAGAAGGCCTTGATGCTGTGTAAGCACTGTTCAGCTGAAACATTATTGTGTTATCAGCTTTGTTTTGATAACATATCTGATGACACCATATAAGCTGTTATGAAGAAAATTATATGTCAACAGAGAAAATTAACCCAGTCAGAATGAGTACAAAGCAATTTCACTTCTTACTGACAATTTTGGGATATGTGTGTGTGGGCCTTTCGCTGCCCCACAGCCCACCCCTAGATCCTGTATCCCAGCCTGCAGCGGCTGTCAATCCCTGGTGCACCGGAGCACTGATCCATACCCACCTCTGGAGCCCATAACCCAGCTCCTGAGTGGCCAAATGACTAGAACTCCAGCCAATGTCTTCACTCTACCTCCTCTTGGAATTTCTATCTGAACACTGCTGGAACCCAGGAGTTGATAGCTATATGTGTGCTATTCTATATATTTTCTCTCTTTCTCTCTTTATCTTTCTTCTTCTAATTCCTTTTTCTTGGAACTTTTTGAGTAACTTAAAATCAAGTGGACTTAGAGTTTGCGAAGTTGGATGTGCCAATTTAAGGCTTTGAGAAGTGTTTTATGTTGACTGAATATTTTGCCAAAGTTCTGTGATTTTCTAAAGTGCCAGAAAAGTCTGTTTTGTTGTTTTGATCTCTTGAGAATATCTGGTTTGTGTTTCTTCCATATGTCTAACTTTGGGTACATGAACAACCATAAGCCCTTTTTATGTGTCTTGTTGAGTGAAGTTGTTTGGGGCCTTACAGGCAGAACATTTTGTGGCCTGAATATTCTTCAGAGAACATGGTTTGCCTTAAATTCTAAATCTCATTTGACTCATTTTGCCTTCTTGGATTTGTACATAGAATCTCTGACTACCTTTATATTATCAGATGGCTACTGCAGGGGCTACTTTAAAGCCTTGAAATCTCTGCAAATTTTTTACTGGTGTTTTGGCATATTTTTCACCTACAGTTTATTCGTTGCCTTGTCAAAAAGCATCTTAGAGAAAAATTTGCCTCAGCTTTGCAAAGCTGAAAAAGAAGGATCAGAATCTCCAGATTGTGGTTTTGAAAGTAGTGTGACACCTGTCAATGCATTTGCCTGTTGTTTTTGGAACTCAGGCCAAACTGCAGAAATCTCTGGTGCTGATAAACATCAGTCTTGTCAAAGATTGTCTTAGACCAGATCTGGGATTAGAGATTCCAGCTTCCTTTTCTCCAGTCTGAATATATTATGTTTTCCTGATCCTTCCTTTGTCACACTTGCATTTGACATGTGTACAATGTAGTTTAAAGAGTCACCAGATTTGATTATCTGATACTATAAGTGGGATTTTTTGTTGTCAATTTTGTATAGTAAGCCAGGAGAAATGATTGCAATATTAGAGTACATAAAATACACTGTATTGAGACTTAGTACTGAATATGTATTATTGATGATTAATCTGGAGTTCAGTGCAAGTTGGGAATCAACTCACGTCAGCTGTTGTTTCATTATACATTATGTTTCAGGTACATCATATCCAAATTTGGCACCACTAACCTGCATAGAATCAGTCTTGCTTCCAGGCAGTAATAAAAACTGCTGTCATACATAGAAATGTCTAACTTCAATGCTTATTCTTCTAATATAGGAAGTTCATATGTTTTCACGAGCTCTTCACAGAGAGCTGGTGCATATCCCTCATATTTTATAGAATGAATTATAATGCTTCAAGAAGCCTTCTGCATTTGTTTAGTGTTTCTATCTTGGACTCAGTTTCTGTTTTGACTCCAGTATTGAGCTGGATATCTGCATAATTCAAAGTATACTGATGATATTTTTCACTGCCTTGTCTCATCTATAAAGACTAAAGAGAATGTATGATTCTTGTGGGGCTACATCTGCTCCTCTGGCTAGATGATCTAGTGATCAGATTTTCTGACACGTACCATGCCTTGATGGAGCAGTCAAGTACATTTGCCTTTCATCTTTTGTAAAATAGCTATAACATTCCAGGCATTTTCCCTGAAGTGGTGCCTTCCTTTATGAGGTCTGAATCATCTGCATTCTGATCTGTACTAAAACAACCTGTTTTCTCCTATAGCAGTCAAATCACACTTGGCAGCCGTGTAAACTTCCTGAGCCCGCTCCAATTTATACTCATTAGGTGGGAACAAAGAGAGGTGGATTTGAACAAAATTTCAAATTTGAAAAATACACGCATGCCTTGAAAATACATGAAAAGCACATTCACTTTAACATAACATACATACACTTGTCTACCAGGTACGGCAAAAAAATATGGCTACTGCTCTGTAGTCTCTTCTCTCGAGGCAAGGAGAGGGCACACGAGTGTGGACTTGAGTGCCACAGAACACAAGGTGGAGCTCCTGCTCTACTCCTGAACAAAAGAAAAACTCGAGAGGGGCAAGTGTCCTGCGGGGAATACAAATGAAACACAAATAGGGCTATATCTCCTACTACTTTTTATTCTTTTGTACAATGTAAATGTTAAGCTTAGTGTCACTTTCTGAGATTTCTGAACATTTCTGCCCCTCTTTTTTCTACTTGTGACTGGATGGCTAACGTATTATTAATCCAGTTATACATGTATTTTTAACAGCAAAAATTTTTTTTTTTTTTAAATATATATATATATATATTTCACTACAGAAAATGATGTTCAACTTGGTCATACTAAAATAATAAATTACCTGGAAGTGTTAAAGTTACTATAATTACTTGGCAGTATAAGATTTGTGCCTTCAATGTACCCCTTATTTTCATTGCCATTTTCTGTTACCTTAACAATGAAAACTGCATGAGAAGAAAACATAAATGGGAGAGGAAGACTTGGGAGTGGGAAAGAGGAGTATGAAGCTCAAAAATTAGTACAGTAAGATTTGCTGTTGAAATTTACAGAAAAAAATCAACTTCTCTTTAAGGCAGTTGAGTTTTTTTTTTTTTTTGGAAGACTGATGATAGTGGATAGAACATGACATATTCATTGACAAAAGTTTATTAGATAATTTCTTGAAAAATGCTGTGTAAGATGTCTTGATAGTACATGATATTGCTGAAGCAGAATACTCCACTATATTTTAGACATTGAAAGGTGGTGCAAAGTTTCTGTGTTCCATAAAAAAAGAAGTAAGTTCACTGAAAGATACCAATGGGTTCTGAAACCATGGCATAGAAATAAGCTCCATCTCAATGTAATGTGATACATGAAATTTGAGGAGTGAATAACAAACAATAAAGTTACATCAATGGAAGGAGGACTGGAAAATAAGAATAGCAGCCAACTTTTTAATGTAGGGAAGATTTGCCTGCTTTTTGGTGTCAGCTAAATTTTCATTGTGTGGTGGTCTAAGGAATGCTGTCCTTTCTAATCACATAGAGAACAAATTGTCTAATATTTAAATAAGGCAGTTAAATCAATTATGTGATTAAGCTTTCCTTTTAAGAATTTAAAAAAAAATAACATCTATAATAAACAATAATTTCAGTATTTTAAAATACTTGCCCAGATGTTGGATATAATTGTCAGTACCATTAAGATTGGTTTATCTGTTAGCTATTGGAAAACAAGCAAAAGGAGAAAGTGGATAAGTTTATTATTATATCTTTTGAGATATGTGAAGAGGTTATCTAAAAATACTTTAATTCATTGAGGAGGTTGTGTGCAGCCTTGTACACATATTGCAGAATATACAATAAGTTCTAAGGAGATGAGGGTTAAAATTTAAGATGGTTGAAGCAAGAAAATCTATGTCTCTGATTTGATTTTGGACTGTGGAATGCAGCTTATAACATCCAAGACCCAACAGAAAAATATCTGTCAGATAAATAGCAATTTGATTACTAAGCATTTGGGTCCATATACACCATGTTAATAAGTTTTTGTTTTGGATTCATATACCATATCAATCTTTGTCAGCAGATACTGATTTTAGTATCTGCCAAAGTGATATTTATACGCAAACTGAAGTATTTTGATGTAGTGGCTTGTCTTATCATCAATGATAACTTTATTTCCTGCAGATTGAATTAACTAAAAGAGGACTTCAAGCAACTCTCTTGGTAAAAACTCCAGAAACAGGAGAATTATTTGTGAATTTTGACCCTCTAATATTAACTTTAATCAGAGAGACAGATTGCATGGCTCACATGTGCCTTGAAATTCCACCATTTGCAAGTGTTATTCAGCAGCAGAGAGTCTGGTACAAGAAGATTGTCAACAATTTGCACGTGGGTTTACTTCAGTTATTTTATGTATGTGTACTGTATGTTAAGATGCCTGGGTTCTAGACATATGGAAGAGGATAAATGAAGATCAATGATTATGCACTAAGAAAACATTTGCAAATCTATTTTCTTATCTGCATGACTGTCTTAAGGCAGTTAATTTTTTTTCTTGGCTTTATGTTTCCTGTGAAGTTACTTTGCAGATGCATGGGTTTGGGGAAGCTCTGCAGAGTCTGTGACAGAGATGAGAATGGGGAGGAAAGGAGGCTTACAAAATGCTTTGTGCTGTTGCTTACTTTCTAAATGATAAGCAATTTATCTCTCATCCAATAATGAAGTCAACATTGGTCAGTATCTGTTTTGAGAGGATACCTGGGAGGCAGGAACGGGTGGTCTGCTTTTAAAAAGTGTAAAGCATGCAGCAAGTAGCAGCTTTTTTTTCTGGCACTGGTGTTTTACACAGATGTCTGTAGAACAATTTAAAAAGAGAAGCTGAAACTTCTCTTTCTCATCTTTTAAGTCACTTAGAAAAAAAACCAAACCAACAAATAAACATAAGTCATAAAGTCTTTATGACATTAAGTCATAATGTTATTGCCAAACATGTGAAACTAGATCAGCAGGTTAAAGAGGCATTAGAAAGAAAATAGTATAAAAAAGTTCTGGTAAGGCTAATCTTATTAGAATTGCTGGAAAGTTCATTTAGATGTATTTTTCTCCTTGGGCTTTTTGTCTTCTGTAACACTGATTTACAGACTGAAATTTACAAGATTTTATGTGGTTTAAGCCCAGTAGACAACCAAGCACCACACAGTTGCTCCCTCACTTCCCTCCTTGGAATGGGGAGAGAATCTGAAGGTTAAAATATAAAACACGTGAGGTGAGATAAAGACAATTTAATAGGGAAGGCAAAAACTGCATGCACAAGGAAAAAATAAGGAATTATTCTGGTAAAACTAGGCAGTATCACAGCTACTTGGAAAGTAAAAAACCATAGCTCTGAGTGTCCCCCTCCCTCCTGCTTCTCCCAGTTTTCATTTTTAAGCATGATGTCATAGGTATGACATCCCATTAATCAGTTGTGGTCCTGGCTACGTTACTTCCCAGCATCTTGTGTGTCCCCAGTCACCAGCAGAGTACTGTGAGAAGCAGAAAAGGACTCAATGCTGTATGACCACTGTTTAGCAATACCCAAAATATCAATGTGTTAGTAATACAGTTTTGCTCACAAATTTAAAACATGGCATCATGGCCATTGAGAAAGAAATTAAGTCCATCACAACAACAGTCCAATCAAAGATTGATTTCTGTGTGAAGTAGTACTTCACACAGAGCAACAAATATATATGTAGAGATATAAGAACAACAAATAGTGAACTTCTGCCAAAAATAATGCAAAACGTTCTCAAGCATTTAATTACAACATCTTAAGAATTTCAGTATTGTACATACAGATGATTTTTCTTAGTTTAAATACATAAATATGTGTACGCGAAGAGGTTCAAATCAGTGTATATTAACTTAATGAAAACATTTTTTCATTCTCTATTTATTTCAGGTGATGTTGGCAGAATACAAAAGAATTAAACTGAAAATACAACACCCTTTTGAACAACTAATGTCTCCTCGATTAGTAAATGTAGAGGATGCTATCCTGCCAGGTCTAACATTACTGAACTGGACATCCTCAAATATTGAGAAATATATTAATACAGTCTTTTCTAAGCTAGGTTGGTTATTTGCCTCCTTCCATTAGCTTCTGGTTATTTGTTCTTTAAAAATGCAAGTTATATTATGAGATTACAGTTCTTTACAGAATTTGCACTTAATTGATTTTGTATATAAAAGACATTAGAATTTTCACCAGTCCTGTATTTCATGAAACATTTGTTTTATAACACCACCTTATTTTTGTCTTGTATGTTCATCAAATTTTTGCTAATGTGTATATTAGGCAGTTGGGATTACACCAAGCATAAAGTACGATGCAAAAGGCCCTATGTATTTTGAATTTAAAGAATGATAGCTACGTTTTAAAAGAGCTCCTAGGTTTCAGACTTTCCCTAGTCCTGCTTTTTTTGTTTCTATAATGTATAAAACAACTTTTCAGGGAATAAAACACTGGCTCAGTTGGCACTGTCATTGCTCAATAACATTTCATATTATTTTTTTTTTTAACATCAATCTCTTTAAAACTAATGCACATACATTTTGGACAACAGCTTTAGAAAACAGATGAGCTTGTAGTGTTTTCAGAAGATTATCACAAGGTTGCACTGAGATGTGTTTTTTTTCTGAAGATACCAAATTCCTTTTTCTTCAGCTGAATTAATACATCAAACAGATTTTGTTTCTTGAAATTGCATAAGTAGCTATAGTGAAAATTTTCTTCAGTTGAAAGGCCAGATTAAAGTGCATTTTGGATGCTAGCCTGACATTATGCTCAATTTAATTTTGAATAATACAGTAATTTGAGTCTGGATCAGGCACCTTCCTGCTATTTGACCTTCAGCATTGAGAACAGGTTGCTATTAAATTTTTAAACTTCTAGTGATTGTTTTCTGTTAACTATTGTTTGGCCTCTGACATTTGTTTGAGGCATAGAGATTTTGTTTGCTTAAAGTTTTTGCTGCTAATAGGTTCTCCAAGTTGTAATTAGTTCAAGTTATAGGAGAAGATGGAATATTGCTGGCCATCATCTAAATGTTAATGTCTTCATGTTTGAAATATGTATCCTTTAAGTTAATCTTATATATATTTATAATATATATATAATACATATTAAAAAGATATTTTAATATATATTTACTTATTAATTAATTTACATTTATTTGTTTTATTTATATTAGATATAATGTATTATATATAATATTTTATATAAAATCTGTGTGATATATATTTGTACAATAGCTTATATTCATATAATATTATAGTTATCTTTTAGCATGTAGATAGCCTATTCTAGGTAAGTATCTGTTGTGCAAAAAAGTTAAGTATGTTTCTGTGGTGAAGCTTGCCATAAAATTTAGATGTTTGAAGTAAATTGGTTAAGGAGCAGAATTCATATACAATTGAATATGACAGTTTATTGAGGTAAAAATTTAAACAGGACTCTGCAAAGGCTATTGATTGAAACTTTTATGCTTGCCTTGAATCTTCTGTTTTCTTTGAAAGCTGGGCTGGAGTTATTGCTTGATCGAGTGAATGATTTGGTTGAATTTCGTATTGATGCTGTCCTTCAAGACATGAATAGAGTGCCACTCTGTATGTTGCCAGAAGGTGAACCACAGAGCTGTGAGGAATTTCTTCAAAAGACTAATGTTAGTAGATAAGTTTCATGAAAAAGAGATTGATGACTTTGAGTTTAGGTATTTTTCTTTTTTATGAGATAAAAAGTTCTGAATGCAGAATTAATGAAGCATGCATGGGATATACATGGCAATGCCCTCTTGCTTGGCCGGGACCTCACATAGGAAAAAAAGTATCAAATGCAAATTGATCTGAGTTGACATGTTCTTTTCTATTAATTATTAATGTCAAACCAGATAGTGTATGATAATTCTTTTATGCTTTCATGTCACTCGAAAATTTGGCTTCTATGATAGTATCTTTTTTTGGTCATTCTTCCTGTTCAAATAAGGGAATTCTCCAGCAGGTGCCTGAGGAGGGTAAATACTATGGAAAGGATTGTGTAAAAAGTATCTCAAACTCTCCTGAGGTGGTAATGGGATGTGGAAAACATATGCAGAATTACCTGGGTGAAGGTGTTCTGGAAAAACACCCTTCATCCCATCAAAATACTTTTATGTTGAGAGTAATTAACTGCAAACATGTAAATTGCTGGTTAGAAAGCTGATTAAGGTCATAATTAAATTGAATGTCAGAATAATATTGTGAGGCAATAATAAGGTATTGCATTTTATGTTATAATGTCTAATGTGTTTTCTCCTGGAATAAACTTTTGTTTGATAGAGACTGTAGAAAATCAAGTAGATAATCCCCATTCCTCTTCTCTTTTAGCAATAAATATTACAAATGAAAGTTTTAATTATCTTAGTGTATTTAACTCTTTGGCCTTTTCTCTTTTGGCCATTGTAACAACTCACCCTGTTGTTAAATACAGAATAAAATTTAAAATAATATTATATGGAATGAATAGTAGCTTGCAAGCCTGACAATCCATACTTGTTTTTATTGATCCTGCTGCTATCTTCCTGATTGGACAGGTACTAAAATGTGTATTCCCTAAGGTAAAAATATGTGAAAGTGAGCAAAAACCTTCTATTCATGGCACGGTAACCTGAAAACTTGAACAGCTACATGGAAATTACACACACAGCAGTTACAATGGCCAATTGAGTTGAGTTAGCAGAGTAAATGGTATAAAAACCCCAGTTATGGGTACAATGAAAATAGTATCAGTTTGTAAGCTAATTGTAATTTTTCATTAGAAGGGACTAGACTTCTGTCATCTAACAGGTGTCCTAAAGTTTCTAAAGAAATTGCTACAACAAAAATAATTACCCAGTGAAAAAATTCCCGAGTACTTTCTTTAGTGTTGCTGTGATACTACAAATCACATCTGCCTTCTCTCTTAACAGAACTATTAGGAAGGCCAAAGATTTTCTTAAAATTTAGAAATGGCTGAATATTTCAAATTATTGATTTTTAATTAAACAAAGGTAGACATGTTTGTTTAAGCAGAATGAAATATAAAATAACAAAGAAGTAAAAAATTAAAAGGACATTTTAGACAAAGATTATAGTTAGCTGAAGAATACTTGATTGATCATGATGTAAGTATTGGAAAATAAAAGATGCATAATACTGTAATAAGGTTCTGAATTTTATTTAATCTCATTCTTTGATTTCTTCTCTCTCCAGTTGATAATTTTTATGTTTATTTTAATAATAAATACAGCTTGTATAAATTTTATCTTCTGTTTAGCTGTAAATGGGAAATATGATTGGCTAATACTCATTATGGCACAGCCAATTAATGTAAATAGGCAATGATTAAAAGAAGTGTTGAATTTCCCATGTCTACATTGAAAAGTTAAGAAAATTAAGAAACCCTTGCTTTTGGGAGCCTTTTAACGAAACTAGGCATTATAAATATTGATTCATGATATTAACTAATGAATCATATGATTTGAAAAAGAAGCTAAAACAATGTTGAAAGACATTTATGATGTCTTGGTGATACCCAATATTTTGGAAAAAAAATAAAATTAATGTTGTATATAAATCTGGTTTTCCACAAATCTTAAGCCTTGACATTTGTGTTAATAAAGGCTGCTATGACTGTGAAATTGACATGAGAACTGTGACAATAAGAGCATATTGTTTTGGTTTGATAACAGGAACTCTGTATAAAAGCTTCTCAGACTTTACACTTAAAAAGCTCACTGGTGGAAGCCTCTGCTAATGATCTGATTAACATGTTACTTGACACTGAGGAACAGGTCAGTAAAGAAGATGAGAGGTCAATTGAACCCAGTGGTGAAAAAAGGGACAATAGCACAGGTAAGAAGATTGCATTGCATTGCATTGCATTGCATTGCTTGGTGTTTGTTTCTTTTTCATGATGATAATTTGTTTTGGGGGACACTGTATCTTAGGTGACTGAAATACTGAATGGTATGTAATGTCTAAAGACTTTTCCTTGAATTTGCCTGGATAATGAATAATCAAACAATCATTTATCATCTACAAAATAAGTTGATAGTATTTATCTAACTTGGATGTTGAAAGAAATAATATCTGAATTTTGACGATAATCATGCCAGTTTGTACTGAATAAGAAGGCAGATTGGAATAAAATACCTGTTACATTGAGGTGCAGATTACAGATGAGTAGTTCTATACTTCCTTAAAATTATTTCAGAAACCTGTGGAGGTTTTGCTTTATGGTACTTTCAAGTCCCTTAAGTAAACTTAACTAATGGATTTATGATGTTTTAGCTACAGGAGAGGAAAGAAGATCAAAAAGCTTGACTTCCTCACAGAATTCCAGTGAGATGTGGGCTGGCTTCTCTCCTACAGCAAAGAGGAAGAGAATAGATTTAGAAAAATTAGAGGAAGATGCCAATGAACTGCTTTCTTACTTCAATAATCGTAATATTGATGCCCTTTTGAAAGTCATACGAAACACTCTGGAGACCATCCGGAAGCGCATTCATGCATCATCTACCATCAATTTCTTAGGTGGCTGCATTGTAGTACATTGCTCTTTTAAGCTACATAAAGAAAAATGTAAATGTAATATCCCATAACTATATAAATAAGAGTCACAAGTGTAAAAGAGGGGGAAACAAAGGGATTTTGATTAAGCTGTCTTGTTAAGTTACATTGTGTGTTTCCAAACGTATTTTATTCTTGTGACAGTAGGAAAGTGTCATTACAATGCTGTTTCTCTTAGGACTCACTGTACTGTTCTGAAGCCAATATTACATTTGGAGCTAGACTTGATAGATAAGTTTCTGATAAGACCTTGATAACTTGATAAGTTATCACTTAAGTTAAAAGTTATCAATTATGAACTTCACAAGTTAAGACCTTGACAACTTGACAAGATCTGTTTGACCTTGCTTTTACAAAAAACTCTATGAAAAAAAACAGAGTTGTCTTTTTTCTCTTACTAATTGCCTTCAGATATTTCCATACATGGTGATGGAACACTGTTTTGAAGTGTTTTATTGCCACATGCATTCAGAAACAAAAATAAGAGCAGTTGTCTTTGGTCTCTATAGTTTATAAGGCATACAGTGCTATAACTCTAAGGAGATTGTGTTCAGTTTAATATGCTGGCTGACAGCCAGATATGAAAATTGTCTGCTAAACAGAGTTTAGCTGCACAGAACCGGTTGAAAAGGAGCTTCATGGAGAAAAATAGGTTTGCACTCACTTTTTACTTGTGCTGCTTAGTTAAGTTTAGCAGTACATCTTATAAATTATTCAGGAAAACTTTTTCCCTTCAGAAATTACACTCAGTACTCTACATTAGGAGATATATTTGTTGATTTATATTAAAACAATGCCTAGTTTAATGTCTTGAAAATGTATGAACAGTCTTTCATTTTGTTTTTGTCTTCTGTTTTTGTCCTTTATTTAGAAAATCACATTATGTCTAAGCAGAAAAAAGGTGCTCATCCTATAATTAGGACTAATATTACCCTATCTATCCCTAATATCATCATGACACCCTCTTTGGATGAGGTACAGCAGACACTTAATAAAGCTGTAGATAGTATTGTGAAAGTAATGAAAGGAGTTCGACAGTGGAGTAAGGAGAGAATATCCAAGGTTGGTGTCTTTAACAGCCTTACTTAGAACAAATGGTGCAAAACAGCTGCAAATAAAAAAATAAATGTTATTCTCTCTTCAGAAGGAAGTGTTAGAGACAAAAGTTGTTCTCTTGCGGTGTGGGAGCAGAGACAGTGATTCTGATGATGGGATGAAAGAGACTGGAAAGAAAAACATCCATGGTAATGATAAACTGACTTTACTAATTTTCAGTATTAGGAAAATGTGATTTATTCAGAATATGTTGGAAGATATTAATTACAGAATGCATCAAAAACAGTTTACTTAATAGATTTTAAACAACCTCATAGATCTTAAATTACCTCAGAGAAGTAATCTCTTTCACATTAGAAATCAGGTTTGCCACTTATCCTTCTGTGGATTTGGGTTAGGGGATTTATTTTGTGCTTCTTAAAGAGTTTTACGACTTTGGGTTATAGGATGTATATTGTTTACAATTATCGTCACTTTTGCTACAGAATAATCTTCCATGATTTGCCTGTGTGGTTTGTAATTTGGCATGTTCAAGTGGCATCTTAGAACTTGTCCTTACCTTTCACAATACTTAGTATTGAGTAAAAATGTCTATGTAAATTGCAATATTGATGTATAGAGGATTGTGTAAAAAATTGAGTAGAGTATAACTTCTAAAGGGATTTTCATTATTCTGTTTTCTGACCAGACATTAAGTTACTGAAGTCATTAGTTCAAGGAAATTTAAAATGGCATCTTTGTGTTTTTCTTCTCGGAAATGGTTTAAAATCAAGCCAAGTTAATTGTTCTACATTGCACCCAAGATAATAAAAAAATACATTTAAGTCTTTTTAGGTTAGCTCTCTCTGATGCACTTAAAAAGTAGGACAGTAATATTTGAACTGGTTAAGAATTATTTTAACTGGTTAAATTAGTCTTTTAAAACTAAGAATTTTGCTTGCAAGAGATGAAATAAAAATTATGATAAAGTTAGACTTGTGGATATTTGCTAACTGATGGACTTTTTAAAATCTTTATTCCTTTTTTTGGGATTGGTTATGGTCATCTTCTCACAGTTAATGTTAATTTGTATTTCAAATTGTCAATTGTGAGGTATTCCAGAAAATAAAAATGCTTAGTGCTGATATATAGGTAAGCAAATGCTGATTTATAAATAAATCACTTAGGTGAAGCATACAAAATAAACCTTGTGGAGGTAGCAGAGAAGAGATTCTCTTTGAATGACTGGAGTGGAACTTGTTCCAAATTTGACAGGGTGCCTAGATGGAGCAATTTTACTAAAATGGGATGTTTATGAATTTATTTTGGCCTCCTTGACTTTTAGTTGCCTTTAAGAACACCTAACTTTAAAATTCATGCTTATTGAAAAAATATGGTTTTGTCTGTAGGAATTTACTTCTCCTAACCAGTATGTCTGTTCTAAACCTGCTTTTATATTTCCATCTTCTTTTATAGATAATGTATCAGATGCAGCATCACTCAGTTCATCTGACCCAGTGCAAAGCCACAACTACTTCAAGAATGTTTCAGAGAACAAAGAAATTATTAAATTAGTATCTTTACTCAGCAGTGCCATCAATTCTACAAAAAGGGTAAGACAATTGAGATGTTAATTTAATATCACTATCTGAGGGATTTTAACATATTACTTTTAATATCCTTGGGTAATAAGGGTAGACATTTAATGCTGTGATTAAATGTAATAATGAAAAAGTTTAGGCTAGTGGATGGAAAACATGTGTCTGAAAATATGCAAATATTCTTTAAAAGTGTAACATGGATTAAGTGTACTCTGTTCCACGATTTGGGATTTTGAATATTGCATAAATTAAAGCACAATAAAAAACTCTAAGTGTAGTTGTGTTGTGTGTAGCAAATGAAGCCAGCATGATTTCTGCCACATTATGAAGAGGTTATGAAGATTTTTAGAAGAAAATTGGATGTCAGATTACCATTTGTTAAGTGCTGCATAGGATTTGCTAGTGTAAGTTAGGATTTATCTTAAAGGATATGCATAACTTCTTTGCCTTGTTCTCAGTCTATGCACTCTTTGGTAAACTTTATTTCTTTAGCGAGCTCTGCATCAGTTTCTTCTGGGCCTGCTCCAGTCTTTTAAGAGTCTTGCCATGTGAAACTCTTTGACTCAAGGTCTTGTAACTTCAGTGGTACTAAAGCATAACTACTAGGCTGGTTCCGAGTAGTTGATAATGGTGGATAATTATAATGGTATTTTGTAATACTGTAAATTTTTATCATTTAGCCAGCTTTAAATGCCTGCATGTACTATATTTATCATAAGCCATGATGTGGATTATCTCTTGTAGCACTCATCTCTCATTTACTTGTTTAATTAGAGGCAGTGATGATTTAATTTTAACTTTCTCATTTTTCTGAACTCCTGAGAACCAAAAAAAAAAATTCTCTTGCACACTCATTAAATGATATTCAAATCAGAGACCTGAACTGAGTGTAGAAATTCATGTTAAAAAAAAATTGTCTCATAGCTTCATTATTTCAGAATGAATTTTTCTTGTTACGTTGGGCCCTGGAGCTCAGGTTTCAGTTTCTAGCCCAAGAAATGGCAGGGAAGGACAAGTGTACTGTATCCTACCTTTAAACTTTACTTCCCACTGATTCCAATGATTTTGTTGACTGAAGATTCACTTAATTGGAAAATGTTTAAGCTAATCTGACTAAACTGAATGTGATTAACATAGAGTTTCTGGCACGATGTGTGATCAGTAATGGAACTTACTTTAGCATAAATTTACCAGCAGCCTTTTTTTCTGTGAGGCGATTCAACCTGCTGCACTATGGCATTTGTAATGTACTGTAATGAGCAGCTGCCAAGAAATTATATGTATGCTATATACATGATGCTGAGAATCTTTCTTTGAACTTGTGAATGTCTTTCAGGAAGTTCTTACAGCTTTGGAGAGTTTTAGTTGTTACCACCATATATGGCAGAGGGACACGGAGGAAACCATTGATAAATTAATGGTGGGGAGCCCATCACTCTCTGAATTTGAATCTGAAATTCTGCATTTCCAAGACCTGGACCTGAAAATAAATTCTGAGCCTGAATACATCTGCGTGGGAGCTATTGCGCTGTACACTGGTAGAGTTCAGCTTCTCTCCAGAGACATGTACTTTCTAACTCCAGTAGGAAGGAGAAGTGTGACAGTTTCCGTCGGGTGAGCTAGATTAAAATGGAAAGGAGAAAGGGAGAGAGGAGGGCTGATTGCTGTTTCAGCTAAAAATGCATGCAAGCAAAACAGTAACACAAGATTATCTGTGAGGCGCAGTTGGAGTTTATTACCTCACCTGGATACTTCTGCTTACTTATGGGGTGGATGGTAAATGTTTGCTCCTCCTTCTGTCACTGTTTCCCACGAGTACATATTTCATGGGAGTAAGAGAATAAGTTTATGTTACTTTTCTCCTTGTCTGGCTGCATGCAGAGATAGCTGAACCCCCTTCTATCTAACATTTCCACCAATGCTATGACCAAATTTTGTTTCTTTAGCTTTCATAATTAGACTCCTAATTTCCTCCCCACATTATTTTTTAAAGATTAATTTTTGAAAATATTTTAGACTTAGATGAGTATATTGAACAATTCATTAGTGATGCATGCAACAGAAGTTGATATAATGGTAAATGAACCAGATGACAAGTATGGAGTCTAGCCTCAACTTTCCAGTAGATACATCCTAAAAATATCTATGATATCTAATATCTATTAATTGTTAATGTTATTAGATGATCTTTCCAGTAGAAAATATGATAAATTCTGAGAAGAATAGGAGGAAAGCAATTGTGAATTGCAAGCAATTTTATAAACCACTTCAAGGTGCCCATGTGATTTTATCACCTCTGTATGTGAAGGGTTAGACCAAAATACCAGAACTGGGACCGAAGAGAACACATGTAATGAAAAAGATTAATAGTGCGTCTTAAAAGATATCTACAATATCTAATATCTACTAATTGTTCCATATTTTTAGCTGATCTGAAGCTAGCACTGAGATCAGAAACCAAAGCCTGGATGACTTTGCTGGGGTGTCATTGCAATAAGAAGTACAGAACACAGATGGAAGCAATTTTGACTTTTATAGAGGAAACTGGCAAGAAGTTAAATCACAGCATCACGGACCTGGATGATATCAGAATAGCCATGTCAGCTTTAAAAGAGATCAGAGAACTACAGATTTCTATTGACTTTCAAATTGGCCCCATTGAGGTAGCTAGTGGGACTATTACATGTATGGGTATTGTTTAAGAGAACAGTTATTTTCTGGGTTAAAGCTTAACAGTGAACTTTGAAAATGTATGATTTAATATGTGTTGAATGTTGAGTGACAGGCCTGTTGTGTTCCTGTAAACCTTTTTGTGTGAAATTCTGATCTGGGCAAATGTAAACTTGCTGAGGTGAGAGGTGGCTTAGTGAACAGTGCAGAAATTGAATGATGTAGGTAAGAGGAAGATGAAAGTACAGGTATTGAATGCAAGAAATCTTTCCATACTTTGTGGAAGAAGTCTGTGTATGAAAAGAAATGAGATTCCTATTTTTGTTTTTTTTTAGCTAAACCTAAATAGAAGCAAAAAGCTAATGTTAAGCAGACTATACAGGATTGATTGCTTTCATCAGCTATATAGGTTAAAATAAATAAAAGCAACTAACTTCCTTAAAGAAGTTAATGTAATAGAATGCATTTACTGAACATCTGACAAACGGCAGACTGAAAAACAGATGGTAACTGTTTCTCTGCATTCCTGACCAGAGTCTTTATTTAAGAATGCTATAATGTGGCAAAATGTACTGATTTCTCAGTAGAATTCTTTTTTCTAAAACGTGTTCATGATTCCTCATTGCCCATAATTTCATTATAAGCTTCCAATTCTGCAAGCAGGAGCCTTGAGTCCCCAGGCACAAGAAGCAACGCTTCAGGTTTTTGAAAGGGAGGTTGGCATATTTTCCACATAGTGTTCTAGTAGACAAAGCATTTCCATTTTTGCAATTTGGCTACAGTTTGATCAAACTGGAAAGCGTGAATGGAAATAATTCCACTTCATACAAAATTTTCAAATGTCAATGTTATGCCACAGGTTCAATTACCCTACCCTGAGCTAATTTATAGAAAGTGAATTTAAGTTGTATTTTAATGAAAATTTACTAAGGGTTTTCAGTATGTGGACTGTTCATATGTTGGTGGTGCAAGTGGAAATCAATGGTCTGTGAAAAAAAAAATTCAGATGTTTCTTCCAGTTTGGTATTGGTTTGTTAGATTTTGATAATGGCTATGTGAAAAGAACAGAATTTCTTTTTCTAACAAACCATTCTCCGTTCTTAAAAGTTTAAAATATTACCATAAATACATGTTTGCAAAGTTAACTGAAGTTACCATTTTCTGTATCTTGGTCCAAATTTCTGGCAGGAATCCTATGCTATGTTGAACAAGTATGATCTACTTGTTGCCAAGGAAGAGACAGAGAAGGTGGACACGTTGCGCTACACTTGGGAAAAACTGCTAATCCGTGCAAATGAAGTGCAGAATGAGCTCGTTGCTTTGCAGCCAAACTTCAGAGGAGAGCTTATTAGTGCTGTGAAGACTTTTACTGAAGACTGTGCACAGTTCTATTCAGATTATGATCAGGCAAGTGTTTCTATTTTATTGCTTTAGAGACATTTTTAAGGAGCAATGGGAGCATGGAATTAATCAATGGGATGGGCCTCTGCTGCTGAATAGGTTTATTCTTGCTAAGATGGTGTTTGAGTTTCAGTTCAGGACAGGTTTGGTTAATGTTTTGAATTACGTGAATGACGTAAGTAATGCAGGTAATAATCTTAAAAATTAAGAATTGAGATATTTAAGGTTTTTGAAAAATATCTAGTTACCATGAGCAAATGTGAAGACTAGGATTAATGATGAATTATGTTAGAAAGAAGAGTTTTCTGATGCTGGGTACATGTACAAGTGACTTACACTCTCACATTCTTTTTCATTAGGACATAAATGAATGAAGCTGAATTAATTTTGTATCATCTTTTAAGTAATGCTGACTTTTACTCAAAAAGTGAGCTATGATTTCCTACCTTTTACAGTGCAATGGAAAATTTCTGCATTAAAAATTCCATTAGTTGCCTTCTTTGATTTTTTTTTAAATCCTTTTAAAAAAAGTGTTTGTTCTAGTAGGTTAACTGTCATCTCTTGGTTCAGCTGCTATCTGATCTGGGGAGGGGATATCTCGGCTGCAAAAGAGTTTGTGGTTAGCCCTTAGAAAATACTGATTAGAAAGAAGTTATGGTTATTCTCACTCTCTAAATTAATGTTTTCTGTTTTGTTGGTTTTTTTTTTTCCTTTTAGAATGGGCCAATGGTGGTTGGTTTAACACCTCAGGAAGCCAGTGACAGGCTTACTATATTCCAGGTACTGTTAATGCTAAGACATAACTTAATACTTATGACAAGTGAGCTAACACCTAAAGGCTCTGAGAAGGACTCTCAGTTGCTGAATGAACTTTCATTGATAGATAGGGTTACTGATTTGGCAAAGTCTGTTTTGTCTTAGTGAAAACTGAGCTGGAATTTTTCTATGCATTTGCAAGGAATACTGTTTAAATCTAAATTTTTTAGGACTTAACAGAAAGGCTGCATAGATAATAAGTAATGATTACAAGATACAATATCCTGATGAGAACCTTCCCACATGTTTAGAGTATTTGGCTATAAGCTATTCTGTTCATTATTGTCTTTATTTTTTTGGTTGAAGTCTATCTTTATATCATTATTAGTATCTATTCCTGCAATAACAACTTTTAATGCTTTTCTTTTTCCCATAATGTTATTCATTTGACTTCCTGCTATGTTCTCTGAGTTATATTACAATTGACAATTAAATTATGTTTTTCTTTGCTGCTTTAATGGTAATAATTCTTCCTTCAACAGTCAATAAAAATGTGCACAGCATATTTGGAGAGGTAGAATTTACTATATCCACCTTTTTTTGCTTTATGTGTCATGCTTCACCTCTTTCAAGTGCAATTTTAATATTTATTGTTCTGTCACTGAGCCACATGAAGTAAATGGCTTCCCTGTCAGTTTGTAAAGATGTACCTCCAAGCTACATAAAAGTTACCTTTCTCAAGAAAATTATTGAGAAAACTGTTAACAGTGTAAGCTGTTACTATTTCTCTATATCTTTCTATTATTTCCTAGATTTTAGTCTAATTCCGCTCGAATCATCATTTTGAATCTTTAATATTTAGTTATTTTTATTAACTTTTTAATAGTTTTTTTTTTTTTTCTTTTTCTTTCTTAGAATCGATATGATAACCTCTTTCAGAAATATATTACTTGTACAGATGGAGAAGATCTTTTCGGTTTGCCAGTTACTTGGTGTCCTCAACTTCTTGAAATAAATAAGCAACTAAATCTGTTGCAGAAACTCTATAATCTATATAACAGTGTCATTGACACAATCAATGGTTACTATGATATTCTTTGGTCAGAATTAGACATTGAAAAAATTAACGGTGAACTTATGGAATTTCAGAACAGGTGAGAAACTGCTGCTGTGTTAAAGTTGTCTAAAGTACTTCTTGAACATGGTTATAACTGGTTAGTACCAGTAATCATATATGAGCATGTATTTGTTTATTCAGGCTTGAAAAATGTGAATTTAAATTGAAATATATATCCATTACCAGCATCATAAAATAATTAGATTCTAAATGTTGAGGATTATTGTTCCTTGGGCAGATTCTTGGTTATCTTTTTTTAGTAAGTTTTTGGAATATATCTTAAAATTATTATTTATTTTCTTCATGAAGGAAAGTTTCACCTTTTTGTTGTAATTTTGTTGTTCATGAGAGACAGATTTATGCTAGATGTCAAAGGCAAGTTAGTGAATTGCTGAATAGTTTTTCTACTAAATGGGTTATACATAGAAGCTGAACTTTTCATCAAACCAGGAACCCAAAAATTTAAAGAACTAAACCCTGAAGAACAGGGTTTTTCTAGAGCTCAGAACATACCATCAGTCTCACTGAAAGATGAAATCAAGATGTTGATACAATATTTCGACTGGTTTTGAAGATCGCTTGCACAGTTATTAAAACTATGCAGCTACACTCCTTAAGGGGAGGCTGTAGGTGCCTACCCAGCTATCAGTCATTGAAATAGACCAGAAACAGATTTTCTCACATGGGGAAGCACATACAGAACCTTCAAATTACAGGTAACTTGAATTTGGAAGGTATGTGTTCTGCCTTTAAAAAAATATACTGTGGTTTTAAAGGAAGAATAATAGAAACCTTTAGAAAAAACTTGCTTTATCTCAATGTAGGTGCCATAAGCTCCCTCGTGCTGTAAAGGAATGGCAGCCTTTTCTTGACCTAAAGAAGACCATAGAGGACTTCAGTGAATGTTGCCCATTGCTTGAGCACATGTCAAGTAAAGCAATGATGCCTCGGCACTGGAAGCAGATTATGGGTCTCACTGAACACAGATTTGACATGGAGAGTGAAACATTTAAACTGAGGAATTTAATGGAAGTTCCACTATTAAGATATAAAGAGGAAATAGAGGTATTGTGAAGGAAGAAATATGGATACATGAAACCAGCAATCTGCTTGTATAATGTAGGAGTAACAGTAGCAAGAAAGAAATCAAAACATTTCTGTAGAAAGAACAGAGAAATGGACTATCATGTCAGGTTTTTGTATAAAACAATGACACAAATATATTGTGGTGTCAACTTCTGTTTTTTGAAATCATGCCATTTGGCCCAGGAGCTAATTTGTGAGGCTATGTAGACCTTTCCACTAAATAGTTGCTCATGAGCCTAATGTTACCTAGTGTTAAAGGAAATAAGAGCTAGTTTCGTATACCAGGGACTTGAAGGATTAATTGTTTTGACATCCCGTTTATTTAAAAGGATATCTGCATAAGTGCTGTGAAGGAGAGAGACATTGAGCAGAAGTTAAAACAAGTGATAGCTGAATGGGATAACAAGATGTTTATCTTTGCAAATTTTAAAACTCGTGGGGAACTTCTTTTAAGAGGTGACAGCACATCAGAAACAATTGCTACCTTGGAGGACAGCCTGATGACTCTTGGTTCTCTCATGAGTAACAGGTAACAGGAAAGGGAGGGAGGGAATGGGGGGGAGAGATAAAAATATTAGCAAAAGGCTTTGTTTTAGCAAACCGATCTATCACAGAAAAGAAAATAAATAAACATCTAGATAAAAACTAAGAGCTTGCTGGTCCTTGAACTTTCAATGGGCTATTTCTTATTGTATCTAGTGTTATCTCCCCAATAAGTTCTTTTGAAAACATGTAGATGCAGCTCAGATTGCCTGAATAAACAACTGGAAAGTTTTCACTGATGCAAGAAAGTGGAGACATAAGAGAAAACAGTGCCTCCTATGGCAGTCATATTACAGGCATTACAGGCACTGCTGCTCTGCCCCTGTGGTAGGTCATTACCTCATGCCAAAGGTACTGAGAATCCCAGTTAAATTGAGCTTCAGTTTGTCTGGTTTCACATGCTAAAAGACACAGATAAAATAATCTGATCATCAGGCAGATGCTCAAAAGCAGGAGTTTAGGAGAGTTCAGGAACTCTGTGAATTTACAGCTTTCAAGAGAGTAGTTCCTTTACCTTAGAGTGAAATTGAAGCCTTGTTCCCATCCTACTTCTCTTGGATCAGAGATGCACTATGCACCTTGTGTACACAGCAGCAAGTTCGAGCTGATTGGATTTAGAGCTGCCAATTAGCTGAATTAAGTTTTTATACTTCCACTTGAAAAATTCTAAGCATAAAAACAAATCCTCATCCTGTGACTTAAATGCTACTTTTCAAGAGTTTTCTTTTTCTTAAAATAATGAAATGTTTCTTATTTATTTATTTATTTATTTTTACTGTAGATACAACACACCATTCAAGACACAGATTCAGAAATGGGTGCACTATCTTTCCAACACAACAGATATCATTGAGGACTGGCTGACTGTGCAGAACTTGTGGATTTATTTAGAAGCTGTTTTTATTGGTGGTGATATAGCAAGGCAGCTTCCAAAGGTTTCTAGACATGCTTTTTTTTAATTTGCTTATCAACATTTTAAGAATAAAACTTAACTGTGATGTCATAACTAATGCAGTAAAAGAAACTTAATTTCTTCTAGTATTTAACAAAACTGGTCTTGCTAGGAAATTAGGTAAGCAGTGCCAATGGAAGGCATGGTGTGAGAAAGAATAATAAAATCATGTGATCTGTTTGACCTATTGATTTCTAGATTGTAAACCTGCTAATTAATATGTATTTAAACACTGGGCCTAGTAGTAGCCTTGTCTAGTAGTACCTACCATTAACATAGTAGTACCCAGGAATCCTTGTCTTAAACTTACTGGCTGGCTTTTCAAATTAAAAATGAATTTCAGTTTTAGAAAAAAAATCTCCAAATTTGAAGCTTAAAATAATGTATAATGAATTTTCTGTCTTTTTCTCTAGAAGTGTAAGATAAAGTCCATAGCAGGCTTGACAGCCAAGTATAAAATTTGTGTAATTTATTGTGTAAGCAGAAAGAATTGTGCCTAAGATGAAAACTTTCTAGAAGGCATGTGATTACTAGTGAGAAGACTGCTGTTGAGATTACTGGGTGCTGGTTCTGGAAGCAGGTGCTTTCTCCCTAATTTCTCTTCCTTCCTCCATTTCTTCCATTCCACATTCACTGTCATGTTTCAACAGGAAGCAAAGCGTTTCTCTAACATTGATAAATCCTGGGTAAGGATCATGACCCGAGCTCACGAAACACCCAATGTTATTCAGTGTTGTGTTGGAGACGAAATAATGGGACAGTTATTGCCACATTTACTGGAACAGCTTGAAATCTGTCAGAAATCGCTCACAGGGTAAGATTACTGTGAGACCATATTCTTGGCCAGATGGTTGTGCACTGTGTAACTAGGGAAAGAGAAATTGCTCAAGTACTGTCCCATGAACTTTGAAAAGATCATGTTCTTATTCCACTATGAATTCAGTTGAACTGAGCAAACAAGTTAGCAGGATAATGTAACACCTCCTAAGAAATTTCTGCCAACTCACGGATAAATATTTGATTTGTGGCTAACTCTGGCATCACTCAATGTCTATCTCTGTTGGAACCAAAGCTGCTATCTCTGTTGGAACCAAAGCTGATTTCAGCCTAGTTTCAATCCAGAAGGCAGTCTAGATTTGTGTATACCATCCACCCTTTTCACAGATCTGGGAGACATTCAGCTTGTTAGATGTAAATAGCAAGTAAAAGAGCTAATGTAAAATATATTTTATTTCAGTTTAGTTTATTTCCTTTTTACTGCTGTTTAGATTGTAGCAAATAATAAAAGCTTTTCGTGAAATGATTTCTGATACTAAGAGAGTAGCTTTTAAAGCAGAGGCTTAACATGAATGTATAATGGTTAAAAATTGTCATTGCTACAGCTAAAATTGTATAATAAATTGTGAGAAATACCACTTCTAAAGAGGAAAGGATGTATGAATTAACCCAAATAACTTACCATCTACTCCCTCCCATCTTCTCTACCGATTTTTTAAAAATGCAGGTATCTGGAAAAAAAGCGCCTTCTATTTCCACGATTCTTCTTCGTGTCAGATCCTGCTCTCTTAGAAATTCTTGGCCAGGCATCCAACTCTCACAGTATACAGGCACATCTGCTGAATGTGTTTGACAACATTAAAACTGTCAGGTTCCATGAAAAGGTATGTCCTGCTCTCACTTCAGCTTTACATTCCTTCACATTAACCATGTATGATTCCTGCTAATTTAGAGAGCTACTTGGTTGCATAAGGCATTCTACTGTTTTACCTTATTCATCAACTGTTTGATGCCGAGTAGGCTTTCTTCATTAAAGACTTGTTTCGTATCCTCATTTATGAGGATGTTGCCTTAAGAGGCTACTGGGACAGATGCTGGACAGAGTTAAAGGAATAAAGTAGGTGTTTATTAAAAGGCCTTCAAAGGATACACCTTGGGCAGTACAAAAGCCTGGCCATGGCTCTACCCAAAATGGATGCAAGATAGATGACCAGTCATGAGTTTTCACACTTTTATAAGTTTTGGTCCATTTACATATTGAGGTTTATTGTCCAATTACAGCTTCAGGCTATGAAGTCCCATCCTCCCATATTTTTCTTAATTCACAGTTGTTTATACCTTTTTGTGCCTGAAGCTGCAATGGTGTTCTTGGTTCTCAGGCTGGAAAAGGATTGTTTTGTCTAACTACCCTGTGAAGAGAACTTGCTAACACTTTATATGAAGTTCAGAGTCACACACTAAGGCAGTACAGAATCTGGAAAATATGAAAGCTAAAACTTAAAGCATCAACATAGTAAAACTTCATGTAGAATGGCAAAACAAATATTTGCACCAGTGCTTATATTTCAGAAAAATCCACCCATATACTGCACTTTTTTCTGTGGCTTCCTCTCAAATAAGCTTTTGAGTCTTTATGACCTTATTTATTTATTTTCATTGACTGTATTTTTCCATTCATTTTTTGATTGTAAGAAAAAGTGTGTCTACTGTCTCTCCTGTTTCTGAGCTGTCCTGATGCTGCCTTCAGACAGTGTTTGAAGAACACTTTTCTTATACCTTTTATAAGAACAGATAGCAACATTTTTTCCTTATGTATGCATTTCCTAGAAGCCAATTACCTTCCCATGCTTTTGAAATTCCTTTGATTGTCCATGTCCCTTAACTTTCCTGTTCTCATTATTTTTGATTCTAAGGCTATAAATTTGGTAGGCTGTTAGCCCATCAGTAGTGGGGGAAAGTTTCCTTTATTGTGACTGGAAAGTGGATGTTGTCACAGAATCAAAGAATGGGTCAGGTTGGAAGGGACCACAGTGGCTCATCTGGTCATCTCCTCAAGCAGGGTCATCCTAGAGCACGTGTCACAGGATTGCCACTGAAACTTTAGGGAGATTCAGGAATTGTCAATATATTCCGGTTTGTCTCCTTGTTCATGACAGTGTTTTGTTCAAAGCCTTTCTGCCTAGCAAAGTAATGATTTAATAGTCTTTACATTTCATAGAACAAGTTGATATAATTTATTAGTGACTTAACTCAGTTTAATGGAGTGATTGCAGAAAAGTATGAATTATTGTAAAGATAGATAACATATCTATAAACATGAGGTATTTTTTCTTTTACTAGATATATGATCGTATATTGTCAATTAGTTCACGAGAGGGTGAGACTGTAGAGCTGACTAGGCCTGTAATGGCTGAAGGAAATGTGGAAGTTTGGCTCAGCTCTCTGTTGAAGGAAGCCCAGCTATCACTACATCAAGTTATTCGCCAAGCAGCTATGGACATCCAGGAAATGAGTTTCCAGATTACTGAATTTCTTTCTACTTATCCAGCCCAGGTAATATCATTGTTAAATGTATGAAGAATTATTCAAAGATATGTATCAGTTTCTTTTCTTGTCTTTGCCTTCGAAGTTGCAGCCAGTGTTAAATACAAAACTAGCATTTAATTTTATTTGAATCATCTCAATCATTTAAGTTTCAGCTTCACATAGCTGAAACCAAATGAAGATAATTTACCTCAAAGCTCCTATTTAAAAAGGATGCTGACTGCAATAAATTAATGTGATGAAGTTTACACTAATTCTTTATAAGCTTAATAATTGACTACTAGAGGAAGAATAGTAAAATTGTGTGTTTGTTCATATATTCAGGATAGTGTTATGTATTGCTAAAGATTTGAAACTGAGGGTAGTGTTGAGGAAAAATTATTTTTTTAGTAGAAGCTTCATTTGTGATCAGGAATGTTGCTGGAATTGGAATAAACACTTTGTGAATTACTAGAGAAATTCAAATTGAATCACTAGTTATTCACTGGTTAGTTATACATATTTTATATTATTTATATAAAGTATATTTGTTACATACAGTATTTTTATATATCTTGTAAATTATATTGAGCAGTTGTTTAAGCAATGCACTATAGGCAGTATCTATAAGACTGAAGTAAAGGCTTAACTATACATTTATGAATGCACTTAGGACACACAAAACATGACCTCTGTATGAATGCACAGAAAGTAATTTTATACATATAGTAGGAGAGCAAACAAGTTCTTCAGTTTTGCTGGGTCTGTGAATGTACATTTTAGGTGAAAGAGAAAAGATTATGAAGTATATACTTCTGTGTTTCCTAAGGTCGGGTTATTGGGGATCCAAATGATTTGGACAAGAGATTCAGAAGCAGCTTTGACTCTTGCCAAGCAGGATAAAAAAGTTATGCGCAAGACGAATCAGTTTTTCTTGGATCTTCTGAACATGTTGATAGATATGACAACAAAAGATCTTAGTCCAGTTGAGCGGGTTAAATATGAGACATTAATCACTATTCATGTCCATCAGAGGGACATTTTTGATGGTCTTGTAAGTATTAAAAAATTAACAATTAATTATGAGGGATTTTCCACATAAAACAATGTGAAATGATAAGAAAATATTATGATACCTATGAATTCCTACCTTATAAGATAAACATTTAATTTCATGACTGTAATGACTATGTGTCCATGTATATGGAATATTATAAAAATGCTGATGTTGTTTCAATCACATCTTCTTAGTTTCCTTTTAAGTAATTCAGTGTGTTTTCCTCTCCCCAAGCAGTAGCAGAATTTCATAATGTTTCATGTTGCCCACTAAAGTTAAATGCCTCTGTTGCATGATCAGTTAAGGACTTCTTTTTCCTCACACATTTTGTTGCAAGTAATTGTCCTTATTCTGGACTGCATTATGAATTTCTACAAGTAAATAAAATATAGAATTGCAGTACAGTAAAATGTTTGAAGCTGATATCCTCTCTGTTCTCGTTTCAATAACATACCTAGTTATTACTAAAGGATTTCTTTATTCTCTTTACACCTTCTCATGCTGACACAGGATGCTAAAATAAGCAAAATGAAAGCATTTAGCTTAATCAAACGTAAAGGTAGCGTACCCTTTTACCTTGTGGTGGTTTTAAAACACTGGCTAAAAAATCACCAGAAAACTTATTCATCTCTTGCTGTGAGATATGCATTAGGAGAAGGGCAAAACAGGCTTAAAACTTAAAAAGAATAAACAAAGTTTATTAACAAAACTACAAGAAAAAGAAACCAGAATAAAACATCAAGAAACCTTTCTTCCCCACCACCCAACTATGCCCTTGTCCAACTTACGGCATGGTGGTTAAAAGCAGTCTCAACTTTGCAATAGTCTTTTCATTAGTCTTTGTAGAGAAAAGGAGTCTTCTTTTGTCATTCTGTGGAGAGTTCTCCACAAGGAAAAAAAAGTTTTCTCATGGCTTTTCATTTCTCTGATGTTAGCTGCCTGGAAAACACTGTCATCAAGCTTTCCTCCCATTTCACACCATTCTGAGGTGTGTCCATGGGCCATGAACTCAAGGGGTATCATTTGAAGGATGAGTTATTCAAAGGCAAAGGTTCTCTTCATCTGTCTCTGTGATCATCTCTGGGAACAGAGATCTTCTCTTTTTTTCTTGATGTCCAAATATATCTATCAGCTCTCACTTCTCTTTCTCTGTTCCAGCATCTTATGAGATCACGACTGCTTCACCATCTGCTCAGCTTCATCAGTGGATTACTATTGCTTGGATTTACACTTTGAAGTATTTAATTTCCCCCAAAATACTCTTTTTTGAATTAAAGGAGTTTTTCAGAACATTATTATCCATTTCTATAGCTTCAACAAAAAAATATTCCAGCTTATTAAGGCATCTCCTTATTCTTTTCCCATCTGAAGCTTAATTCTTTCTTTCACTAACTGTGATAGTTTATGTTGTCTCTCTACATGTTGATCACTTTCGTTTTCTTCTCTCTGAAAAGGAATAAGTCTGCAGGTCTCATATAGGTAGTGAAAGAGTTAAAATCTTGCCCAGGCCTTGTGGATGGTCCTGTGATCTCTGCTGGGGCAGCGGCTGGAGCTGTCTGTGATGGAAGATTTTCAGCGGCTGCACTGGGGGATGGGGGCCAGCAACTCAGCAGCCAGGCTAGCCCTCAGAGGCAGCACACCACCGGCCGATGGCTTCCCTCACCCTACTTGGCAGTCTCTGGTGAAACCCAGCAGCGGCAGAATTCCAGCCGAGCCAGGGACCAGCCTGGGCTGGCAGCCCCACTGTACAGGCCTTGGGGGGCTTCCCGAGGGGGCTCAGCCCCTCTGGGCACGGTCTCCTGTCACTTCACGGTCTCCATCCCTCCCCCTGCCCGGGAGCTGCTGGAGTCCGGCTCAGCCCCCTCTCCCCAGGCCGGACAAGGCCGCGGGGGGAGCGGGGCCGGCTGGAGCTCTGTTACCTTTCACAGCCGGAAACTAAAAAAAAACAACCGAGACTCCCCGGCTTAGGTTTAAAAGGTGCTAGTCACAGGGTTGATCTCACATTTCAATGGTCAAAACCACTGTCAGTTCTCAGAAATGGCCAGTTATTGGCCGGTCTCAAGCAGAACCCCCCTCCATCAACCTCTCTCTCAAAGCCTTCACGTCTGTGTTTTTCACTTTTTTCCTTAAATGCCTAACTATCATATACTATCATATACCTATAAGATATCCTGGAACTGATTCTGAAATTAGGCTATCTAGAAAAGAATTATTGAGTTTTGCCCCATTATTGATAGGAAAGCATTTTTCATTTTTTTGTAGAATCATTTGTTTCTAGTTATAATCATTTTATGTGAAGTGTAATTTTTAGATACAAACCGATTGATATTTTTTTAAAATCCTGTTTTAATATTCAATACAGCAACTGTGACTTATTTTCAGCTCTGTTGAATTCCTTAGGTAGTATCACTACCATGACACTGCTTTGAAATATCTCTTTACCCAATACCCATGTGGTTTCATACAATTCTTATAGCAGTTTATAAAATCAAATATCACATGATGTACGTCCAACTAATGTAAAACTAAAGTGGTAGAGAGGACTAAAAGGAACGGCAATTTTAAGGTTAAACTGAAAAGACTCTTGTTTGAGGCTTATGTACTGTTCATCTGTATTTAGAATTTTGACACACTTGTCTAAAGCTTGAAGTTCCTCTGCCTAAGTATGTGATTGATCAATAATACATTAGCAATTTTTGTGGTAAAAATCCAGATAGGCTCTCCACTATTCTTTTGTTACTAGCTTTATGCCTTTCATTATGCTTGCAGTGCTGCCTTTGCATCTACTACTTAGATACCATAATATAAATGTGAAAGTAAATGTTAACCATAAATTCCACAGCTTTGTGTTCCTTCTCTTCTTAGTGCTGCATGCATATCAAGAGCCCTACAGACTTTGAGTGGCTGAAACAATGTAGATTTTATTTTAATGAAGACTCTGATAAAATGGTGATTAAGATGACTGACGTGAGCTTCACATACCAGAATGAATTCTTGGGCTGTACTGACAGGCTTGTCATAACACCTCTTACAGACAGGTGAAAAAGACTAATTTTATTCCTTTACTCTTTTCTACCAAACCTCAGCTTTTACAAGAGCAATTTAGTCATTCCTGTTGGATGATCTCTACAGAGTTTATCCTTCATGGTCTTGTCAAAGTCAGTAATTTCATATGGAATGCTTCAATACTTTTGTTTCTGTGCCCTATAATGTAATTTCCAACTTGTTTTCTGTCACACACTTGAATTGGTCCCAACATACATGATGTATTTGGCCTTCGTATTTATGTAGGTGAAGCCAACATACCTGAGGATCTGATATAACCAACAGATAAAATATGTAGAGATACAGGACAAAAGTAGGTGTTTACAAACAAGCTAATGAAAAGAGCTAAGGAAGATCAGACAGGAGCAACAATTTTTATTCAGCTGCAGTTGTCTAGAGATCTTTGATCTAAAAAGATGTTGGAAGACTTGTAATCCTGTTAACAGAGAGATCTACCTGCCTAACTCAAATAGCATGAAGAATGCTTTATAATCTATCATTGGTGAAATAAGGGCATTGTTAGTTTGGTTTTGCTTTGTGGTTTTTTTTAACCATTCCATGCAAAAAAAACCCTAAAGATAGTCTTGATATATAATTATTAGCTGGTGTTTTGTTGCATTATGCATAGATGTTTCTTTTATGAAAATGGCACTGTTTAATCAAATTTTAAAGATGGATGAGAAAGGAATGATTAGATGTCTTTCATTATTGTACTCCACAGTATAATGTATTTTAAAAGTACTCCTGATAAAATAACTCAGTATCCAAGCTATTCAAACTAAGATTAGGCAGAACCTGTGTATCTTCTTTCTTCCCTTCTGGTGATCTTTCAGTTCACTGATGATTGAGGATTATCTGTTCTTTCACTTCATGTATGATGAAATGAGCCTTAATATTCCCTGTGTCAGAGATCAAGTGAAGGGGTTTTGTCCTTACTGATCCAAATTTTAACTAGTGGAATATAATTTCAGCACTTCCCTTTTCTCCTTAAATCAGACCTTGTGTAAGTTCCTCTGGCACTGTGCAGAAAGACTGCCTGGTGCAGCCTGATTGATTGTTGCCTTTTAGATGTTATATCACTTTGGCTCAAGCTTTGGGCATGAACATGGGTGGAGCACCTGTGGGACCTGCAGGAACCGGAAAAACTGAAACTGTGAAAGATATGGGACGATGCCTTGGAAAATATGTAGTGGTATTCAACTGTTCAGATCAGATGGATTTCCGAGGACTTGGGAGGATCTTCAAAGGTAAGATACAGACCAAAGGTAAGCTGTTGGCCAAACAATTTTCTGTTTTCTGGGGTGCACAAAGCACAGTGGAACTAACTGGGCTGAGAAAGTGGTAGTTCCACTATACTCAGCTTTGGAGTGGCCTAATCTCAAGTACTCTTTGCAGTTCTGGAGTCAACAATATCATAGTATAAAATAGCATAAGAAACCATTGGAAGGTATCCAAATGAAAGCAAAAGAGATGGTGAAATGACGCAGAGCCGGATTTTTCCCCAGCCAGCTCCCGGCACTGAGCCAAGAGGGGGCTGCTCCTGGAAAGCAGGGCAGCTTAGGGATTATGCTCTATGGCACTGGCTGTCCAGTGTCGAGGGCAGGAGCAAGGACAAAGGAGAGGTCTTCCATTTGGCTTCCAAAAGGGATTTATTCTCTTTCCAGGGAAGAAAGGCAGAAGACACAGGGTTACAGCAACTTATGTGTGTGGGAGGAGCAAGGGGAGTACACAAATAATAACCCAACAGGGAAGACTTAGGGGAGGAGCACAAGGCAGGGTTACATAATACATAAACCAATGGGGAACACCAGGGGTGGAGAGTGGGACACATGGGCCAATGGGGCTCGGAGGAATAGGAATTCCAAAGGGACAGTCCAGGCAGGGGGTTGACACAAGGGAGGATTGACAACTTAATGGGAGGGGGAGCAGGGAACATTCGGGAACAAGGGGCAGTATCAGGGTGGATTGGCAACCGGGGTCGGAGGGCAGGATTGGGACCAAACTATTAGCATGGGGGGGGGGAATACAACTTAACAATAAATAATGTAATTGAATCAAATATAATGAACAATAATGCACTGCAACAGTGAAAGAGCTAGAGGACATGACTTAAGAGAAACAGCTGAATGAACCATGTTTGTTTTGATTTGAGAAAGGGAGACTAAGGGGTGCCCTCATTTCTGTTTGAAACTTCCTAATGAGGGAGAGTGGAAATGGAGGTGCTGATCTCTCTGGTGTCTGGGAATAGGACATGGGGGAGTGGCTTGAAGCTGCATTGGGTGAAATTCAAGCTAGATATTCATTGAGAGTATGGAAACACTGGAACAAACTTGCCAAGGAAGTCATTGGGGTCTCAAGCCTATTAGTGTCCAAATAAGTGCTCAGTGTCCAATTTGGTCTTGCAAATAACTATCTTATATACATATATATATATGTATATACATATATACATGTATCTAAAATACACGTATACATGTATTTTAGATACACCTTCATGGAGTCAGGAGTTCTACTTGTTGATTCTCATGAGTCCTTTATAAGTCCTTTATAAGCCCTTTATAAGTCAGTCCGTTATATTCTGAGATTATATGGTTTTATGAACTGCATGGAAGTTTCAAATGATGTCATCTCTATGAAACAATGCACATAACCAGGAGATGGTTTCAGCCTTTTAATAAATGCAAGTAATTAATATCTTGTTATGTGTATAAAATACAGTTGCAACACTGGCTTCAGGAAATAGAAATGTCTGAAAACATGACACAGTTTATGAAAGGATAGATAAAGTCACTTAAAATGACTTAAAGTCACAAGGAGAAATGCTTCTATGAAGAGAAAATGCTGTGAAATGGATTGCTGAACTGGTGGGGCATGGTGAATTTTGATTTCAGTATTTGGTCCTGTTCAAATATTGAAGTTTCTATCAGTAGAAGGAAATGCATGGGTAGTGCTATATATGTTAAAAACAAATGGCAGAGCTCACTGAATTAGGTGCAGATGACATTTTTTAGGCATCTGAAATTGATACCTGGCAGTCATGGCAGATGTCGTATTAGAGGTCAAATGGAGGTTCTTGACTACTGTATTGTTGCAGATGACTGTATCTATGATTTTGTTTTATTTTCCCCCAAAAACCCAAGGAAAAATATCCAGCTCTGGCAGAGACTGACCTCCAGCTTCTTTACACAACTGTATTGTTCATTTTAATATGTGCAATAAGCTATTGACAACCTGCCACATTTTCATAGAATTACTGCAGGAATTTTTCTTGGGGGATAAAGAGGGACAGGAAAACATTCAAGATGTAAGGAAAGGAGAAGAAATCAAAGAACATTGTATCCTGGAAAATCTTAAGGACTTTGTGAACTTGTATTTTCTTACTTGAAAAGGATTTAAAATTCTCTTTGTTCCTTTCCCAACCCTCAAAAATAAACACACCTCCATCCCCCCAAGATAGATTAACTTAATTTTTGGCTTGTGAATTGCGCAAAAAAAGGGTTAAAAACATAACAGTCATATGCTTAGTTGCTTTTCTCTTGGAAGGTCTTGCTCAGTCTGGCTCCTGGGGTTGCTTTGATGAATTCAATCGTATTGATTTACCAGTGCTATCAGTTGCTGCACAGCAAATAGCAATTGTGTTGACATGTAAGAAGAAACGTAAAAAGAGATTTATTTTTACTGATGGAGACAATGTAGAAATGAACCCAGAATTTGGCATCTTTCTTACTATGGTAAGTATTCAGTAAGTTTAAAACCAATGATGATTGTACAATAATCGAGTCTAACTTGGTATGTTAAGTGTACTTGCTAACTCTTACATCATTCAGTTCTTAGAACTAAACCTGATAGTTTGAAAATATTGAGCATTGCTGCAAACACAGTTTAAAGGGTCTTGTTTCAAGAACATCAAGCACATGAAACTAACAAGTGCAGGCAGCACCATAAATACAAGTTATCTCAACTTCAGATTGCTTCTACATGACAAAGTATGCTTTTTGCTACAATTACAGAAAAATTGCCATAGAGATATAGGTAGGAGTAGCCAGTAAAAATAGGACCTATATGACAAACTCAAATTTGAAATGCTTTGGTGGAACACTTTTCATATCTCATGGATATAAAAGAGGCAAAAATTCTATAGAGATATGGTAGTAAGTTGCATGGCAATTAATTTTGACATGTAACTTAAAGCCAGCAAATTATTTTTACCTACCAAGAAGGCATATTCCTTTGCTGATTCTTCTGCTTGTGCAAGGTACACTCAGCTTCAACACCTGTTTTTCCTCTCCAGAATCCAGGATATGCTGGACGGCAAGAACTTCCTGAAAACTTGAAGATCAATTTTCGTTCAGTGGCTATGATGGTTCCTGATCGTCAAATCATAATTCGTGTTAAATTGGCTAGCTGTGGTTTCATTGCTAATGTTGTGTTGGCAAGGAAATTCTTTACACTGTACAAGCTGTGTGAAGAACAACTGTCAAAGCAGGTGAATATATTCATATGATGCAACCTGATTATTTTAGGAAAAAACCTATCTGTGAAGTCACAAAATATTCATGTGAAGAATAAAAAAAGGTTCATGTTCACTAAGTAAGTTGGCACACTTGCAGTGTAGTAATGCAGCTCTCTGCTGTCCTGGGAGATTAAGCCCTGCTGCAGGTTGTTGGTGCAACAATGGGGCTTTCATTCAGAAGACCACTTATTATTAAGATTTAGCTTTAATGAATGGTGATGGCTGAGACAAGTAAAGGCTTTAAAGCCTTTTTTTGTATTACAGATTGGGTTGAGAGACATTTGGTTTGTGCTGCCTGTGCTTGTTTCCCAGTTTCCAAAGGCCACAAAGAATCAAAATAATACTGATAAAGTATTTCTCAATAGTCCTTGGGAACCCTGTCTTGATTCAATGACTTATGATTACTTTTTCTTTTCTGTCATACCTTAGATTTTAATAGACGTGACAGATTTGGAAAGTGAAGTTGCCCATAGTCATGCAGCCAAAGAATAATTGATGGATGTTTGGAGGCATTTGAAACACATGTACCACTTCTCCTACATATACATCCATTTCTTAAATAGTAAATAAGAGCTGTTTTGTCCCTATTAACTCGGGGAAAATTTCCCCAAACTTCATATATCTTCTAGGTGCATTACGATTTTGGCTTGCGGAATATATTGTCTGTGTTGCGTACACTTGGAGCAGCAAAAAGAGCAAATCCCACAGATACTGAATCTACCATTGTCATGCGTGTGCTGAGAGATATGAACCTGTCTAAGCTAGTAAGTTCTGAGGACCTGATAAATAATTTAAACCGTACTTTGGAGCTAGTGATGACTAGAAGATTGTATGTGACCTCTACACTGAAGCTGGCTTGGAATGTTTCATTCTCTGAGTGGAACATTTTGAATGGAATAGAGATAAATTTCTTGTTTATATCAATATCCTGTTTGGGGTTGAGGAGAGAGTGAGCTGGCTGTTCCTTGGCTTCTTATATGGGTTAAACTTTGAATTGTTCAGAATTTGTTTTCTGTATTTTCCCTACTACCTTTAGAAGTAAGTGACAAAATAGATGTCTATGCAGTAACTTCTTTAGAAACTTTGTGCTTAAGTATTTAGTCACTCTTTTGAAAGAATCTGTTATGGATAGTAATGAATATCATCTCACCTGTCTAAATAACTAACAGCCCTCTTCTGTTGCTGTGGTATCTTTGATGATGATCTTTTTTTTTACACCAGATAAACTAAACAATAGTTTTCTAAATGTTATTGCTAAAATCTACTATAAGAAATTCAGTCTGCATGTTAGTGGTTTATTTTGACTGATAGAAGCATCATATGATCTCTTTCTGTGATGTCCTTCTGATGTTTATTGCCTTAGAGGATTATTATAGATGGTTCCTTATGTTCTCAAGCATTTTTTCAGGTCTTCAGAACTCAGGGATTGTTTGTTTTAAAGTTGATAAAATAAATAGAACAGGTTTTAATCTGTGTGGATTTTTGTTTTCCCTGATTTTCACTAGATTGATGAAGATGAACCCTTATTCCTGAGTCTAATTGAAGATCTGTTTCCAGATATCCAGCTTGATAAAGCAGGCTATCCTGAACTTGAAGCAGCCATTGACAAACAGGTGATGTTTCTCATGATCTATCATGCTGTGGCATAACTGTCATGTTTTCTTAGGTGTCATATGACACCTAAGAAAATCATTGTTGTGGAGTCTATTCAGATGGCAATATTATATTTCACTGTTGAGAGGAAGCATAAGCTTTTCCATAAATCTTTACCACTATCATATGATTATTAAGCTTATTCTTCAGGAGGTCACTGAGTTGGGATTATAATGTCCTGTGGTTTACTTGAGTCATGGTTACTGGGGTCCAGTTTGGAAAACGCATGTATATAAACTTGTTTTACATGACCCAGGATTTAATATTTGTCTGAAGTATTGACAATTAGAATATTCATTAGATAAAAGATTTAATTAAAATTACATATCTTTTATTTAATTTCCCATTAGGTGTTTGTAATACTTCAGTAGGGACAACTTCCGAATATAATGTATAGGTATATAATAGATATATTATAGGTATACCTAATAGATTGATTATGATGTAAATAGAGGCTGGTTTACCTTATTTTTCTGAATGCATCTTTGAATAACAAATATATTTTTTTCCAACATTTTTTTTAATATACACAAGGCCTTTACAAAAGTATAGTAATCTGTTGATGATATATGTCTTTTTAATATACACAAGGCCTTTACAAAAGTATAGTAATCTGTTGATGATATATGTCTTTCTGTCTATCTATCTATCTATCTATCTATCTATCTATCTATCTATCTATCTATCTATCTATCTATCTATCTATCTATCTCCCTGCCTGCCTGCCTGCCTGCCTGCCTGCCTATCACTATCTAAAGGCATTAAAATATATTTTGTGCTCTAAAATAATAGTAATTTCGTTTTCTGTCACTGTCTCTTAGGTGGAGGAATCTGGCCTTGTTTGTCATCCTCCTTGGAAACTGAAAGTTATCCAGCTTTTTGAAACCCAGAGAGTAAGGCATGGATTGATGACACTAGGACCTAGTGGTGCAGGAAAAACTACTTGCATCCACACCTTAATGAGAGCAATGACAGGTACATTAATACTTATATTGCAAATTGTTACTAAACATTGTACACTTCAAAACCCATTGTTTCTTTGAAAACCTCAATTGCTTCACTGTGGGAATATATTAATGAGAGAATGAGTTTGTATGTTGAGAAACTAATTATTCCAGTAGCTTAAAAATGTCTGACATTCAAAGCTGTATGCTTCATGTCCTTTTTCCATATTATCATACTTTTATCAAAAGTTCTTATTCTTACTAAGAAAGAGGAATACAGTCTAGGTAGGCAGCTTAGATGAGTGATTAAAGCATCTCCTGGGTTTTGCTGGGGAAATGCTTAAACCTTTTGCTAATTATAAATATTTGGATCTTTTTGAACACAACGCACAAGACAGGGTCTTTGCAATATAAAATAACTGGTGTTTTAGCCATAAATTCCTGGTCTAGAGAGTCTTCAAGGGTATTTATTTTGTGTCCTGGCTGGAGGCTTGAAGACTGTGTGTGGTTTTTCTGTCATCTGTATTTCTAAATACAAATATTAGTCGAAGAATGTCTGCTTGATCTTATTAAAATAAAAGGTCATAGCTTGAGGAGAATAACATCTCTTTTGAGGTAAGCTTGTGTTACCCCACTTCACAAGTTGCTTATATGATTTTCCAGAAGTGAATAATTTCTGTAAAAAATAGTTCAGCAAGTATCTCATACATGCAGTAAAGCACTGTGCTCAAGCGCTGTAAGCTCTACATTGCAGTGGAAATTACTGTTTCATTTAGGAAAAAAAGCAGAAAGAACAAAGTTGTATTGCACTGTTTTCCTATCTTTTTTACTAATGCTGAGATGTGAACTACCACCAAGATAAAGCCACCTCACTATTTTTTACAAAGCTGATCTTCACACACAACCTCATGAAATGTTAAACTGTGTGATCAGTCAGGCTTCTATGTTACATGTTCATGAAATCTGATTATGATGAAATTATTTTAAAATAAGTAATTTTTCATCTCTTTCTTTCAACATCTTACTACTGGCTCCTGGTTACATTTTAATCTTGTTTTTTTTTTAAAGATGTCTGCCATAGTAGGTTTTAAACTGTTGCTAATGAGATAAAAAATAAAGACTGTATGATCATGGTATGGCTAGATAGAATTTATCTGTCTAAGAGAATTCACAAGAATATAAAAATATTGTATACTTTATTCTAAGATGTATGCAAGTGCACAGAAGGGCAAAATATCATCAAAAAATCATCTGTCTGATATTTATTCATTGGGTTTTAAAAATATACATCCAAACCAAATGTTTTAAAGCTCTATTGTTTGATAAGCCTTCAAAATATTGAATTAAACTTTGAATAAATTTAATCTTGCTGCTTTTCTGTTTCAAATGAAGCTATGAAATGTGAATTAAATATTCAAAAGTTTCAGAATTTTGTTCTACTTTTTTTGCTGTCTCAAATAAATGAATTTTGTATAGCAAGAAAAGTTTTTCAAGTAAATACACACATTATTGTAATTATGAATGCATATTAAAGATTACATTTGGGTGGAATGATTTGGAATTTGTCAAAGTTGTCTTACTGCTGAAAAGAAATGTAAAAACTAACTGGTGATCTGCCTTCATAGATTGTGGACAGCCACATCGTGAAATGAGAATGAATCCTAAAGCTATAACTGCTCCACAAATGTTTGGACGCCTTGATGTGGCAACAAATGATTGGACAGATGGAATATTTTCAACGCTCTGGAGAAAAACTTTAAGAGCGAAGAAAGGTATTGTGGTGGGTTGACCTTGACTGGACTCCAGATGCCCATCAAGTTGCACTACCACCCCTTTGCACAGTTGGACAGGGGGGAGAAGATAAATGAAAAACAACTTGTAGGTTGAAAGAAGGCAGTTTACTAAAGTAAAAGCAAAAATTTGTGTGGGCACAAACAAAGAGAAAAAAAGGTTTGCTCTCTACTTCCCATCAGAAAACAATGTTCAGGAGCAGTGTTCCCAGGAAGCAGGGCTTCAGCACACATAGAGGTTGCTCTGGAAAGCAAACCTTGTAAACAGCAGATGCCCCACCCTCCCCCTTTCCTAGCTTTTATATCTGAGCAGATGTCGTAGGGTATGGAATATCCCTTCACATATTTTGGTCAGCTGGCCTGGTTGTGTCCTCTCCCAGGATTTTGTCCACTACCAGCCCCTTTATGTGGGGAAAGGAACTCCAGCTCAGCCAGACCCAATACAGGTATAATGAAAGAGGCTTCCATTCAAAATAAAACAAGAAAAACCTCAAGCTTCAGGAGAACTTTATAAAACACAGAAGCAGATATTTTTTTCCCCCCTTACATGGAAGAGTTGGGAAATTGCTGGAAGAACTTCTGTCCCTTTTACAGTCTCTATTCTAAATGCTTTGTGATCAAACAGTGTAGTGTAACAAATACTACTTCACTGCATTTACTTAATGCTCTCTTTTGTTTGTTAGGCCCTTGTATCAAAGGAAAGTGGAAGGTAAAAGTCAGTTGATCCAGCAGTGGGATCCTATAAAAATTTTGGTGCTGTCAGGATTTTTACCTGTTCTCCATCTGGCATATTAAAAGGAAATAAATCTCATCAGTTGTGTCATGCCAGCTAGCCCTACACATATCATAGTCCATCTCAAATGGCAGTAGATAATTCTATTTAGGCAGACAATTTCTGCCTAAATGCTGACATACATTCTTAGACTGCTATATTAAATAAAAGAGTGGCCATGATAGTTTGATGCTAGATGGTTTCTTCATTTTTCTGTCTGAAAATTAGTATGTGATCGTATCATTATGCCTTAAAAGAAAAAATGAAAGAAAATCCTAACACTTGTAGTATTTTCATACAAAAATTCCTAGTCTTCAGAAATACAGATACTTTTAAAATAGAAAATGCTTTCAATTTAATTTTGGTAGGCTTGTTTAAAATCTAGAAACTCTTGAGAATGTAGCATAGCACTAACTACTGAATTTTTTATCTTTTCCTTCAAGATGAAATATATATTAGCATACTCATATGACTTCCTCAGATTTACTCTCTAAGTGTTTTGTAATATTTCTTTATGTGTCAGTCTCCAGACTATCTCATGCTTGAGATGAGTGAAGTGTAGCTATAAAAACCTTCTGCATATAAAAAGTTTATCATCTATTTCATATCTCTTTGGTTCAACACTAGCAAAGCTCCAAGCCACCCAGGCCTCTGTAGTAAGCACTGACTCATGGCAGCTGGACCATCTCTGGCTAAAGAGCCATCATGCAAGGCTGTCTGCTCCCTAAGGGGTGGGCAGCCAGAATCCAAGGTGGGATCTCTTTCCAGCAAGGGTCTGTTGCCCAAGTGAGGCAAGCAGAACAGACCCAGACCTCCTAGGAAACAGAGGAAGGCTTTAAAATACATTCCTGTTAGTAAATAGAAAGCAATGGAAACATTTAAAAGGAAGCTGGATCAAATTTAAGGACAGAACAAATGACAAGAATCTTCCCATAATGGACTTCTTATACTTATGACAGTGTGCATGCTATTTGAAAGAGTAGTTTTTCAAGTGTTCCTTTCATTTAATTTCTCTACATTTGTAAAACTCATTGGAAGCAAATGAATGGTGTTTAAATAAATTTGTAGTCACTATCTTCTTAAAGTTGTTTTATGTAACTTGAAATAAACCTAATTTATTACTGTCTTGGAGACTGGATTCATAAAACTCTTTCAGCATATTAAAAATTGGTGACTTATGCTGATGGCACTTTATAAACTGAAGAATGGATAATTATTATCAATTGGTGACAAAATGAAGTACCCAACTGAAACTGAGTGATGGAAATGGTAATTGTTTTAAAAGCTGAGATTGTAGCTGTGTGCACAAATTCAGAATTAATTAAAAATTTGTCTGCAGATATAAGAAACTGGTCCTTGAAAGAAACTAGCACTTCATCCACAGACCTTTTTATCTGTTATATCTGTTTATCTTTTGTCTTGGATTATAGGTGACCACATCTGGATAGTTCTTGATGGTCCAGTTGATGCTATTTGGATTGAGAACCTTAATTCTGTCCTGGATGACAACAGAACTCTAACACTAGCAAACGGTGATCGGATACCTATGGCACCAAATTGCAAAATAGTATTTGAGCCTCATAATATTGATAATGCTTCTCCAGCAACAGTTTCAAGAAATGGGATGGTATTCATGAGCTCATCAGTTCTCACCTGGAGTCCCATCCTTGAGGTACAACAGCTAAGTGTCTGAATATATATTGAAAGTTTTACTGGTTACTTCTTCCACACTTCACTCTTGTTACTTTAGGACCTATTTTGTCCCTTTTACTGTGAAATCCCTTTTACTCTGTATAAATTTCTATGTCAGTACTTAAAATAGCAGTGTTTCTAGTACACTACTCAGGATTAACACTTGAAAAAAAGAAAAGAAAATTTTTTTTTTTTCTCTGCATTTCTTGTCTAGGCCGTCTTGTTGAGAATGTTTGGTTAACATTATTTAGCTTTAATAAAATATGGACTATCTCCTGAATATCAAAAACTAAAACTTTTTTCTGTGTGCCTAAGATACTGATTGTTGGTGTCGTACAGATAATTACTTAATTAATTTCCCCTGAAACCCAAATTATATTTGGTATATTTCAGTATAATCCTGAATTAAATTCCTTTATATGTGCTTTAGACTTAAAATTTAAGATGGGAATTATTTCTGGTTTATGGAATTGGAATGCCATCCAGGTGTTTGTAGTATATTTGTCCCCTTGCTTTTCAGGCTCAAAGAACAAAACTTTATGGGCTAGTATGAGCTAATAGACTAAATTTTGCTGTTCTCCTTTCTAGAATGTATTACATGAACCAGATTTTTAAAATATTTTTTTAAGATTAATGTTTCAGAGTCTCAGTCACTCATTTAATTTTTTAAGTCAAATAGGATACCAGTGGAAAATGCAACTAATCCTCACCTAGTTACTGTTGCTTAACTAGTCCTATGAAAATGCAGTTGGCTTCACATAACTTTCAGATGTCAGCCTTCTGTAGTGATTACTCTGTTTTAGTCTCAGCTTTCTTGTTTTTTTAACCCATAAAGGTTCTCATGCTTGTAAGTTTTATATAGATGGCTTGTTTATAATCAGATTCCTTATCCCTAAATTCCTGATTTGTCTGGCAACAGAGGAAAATTGGCTTGTGGGACTGCCTAGAACCACTGTCCTTAGCAAATTAGAGGTTTCAGCCCAGACAGAAATCAAAAGAGACAGTATGCTGTAGTGCAAGCCTTGAGTGACAAGCAGTGCCTGGTGCCTCTCTTTGGGACTGGAGACAGTGAAGCCCCTCTGGGAAAAGCCAGGGGATGTTTTTGGTGAACAGACATTACTAAGGTGAGGAAGGCTGTAAACTTATGATTTCTGGCAACAAACACAAGGTTTCTTTTCCACCTGTGGATCTGAAATGGCAGGTCAGGTATAATGCCTTGAAAAGAGGTGAGGAGCAGCAAGACCCACTAGGGAGGGCACCAGAATCCTGCTTTGCCTTAACCCATTAGGGGGTAAAGGAATGGGCTTGTTATCAGTTATTTCTTCGTATGTCAGAAGCACCCATATCCTGTTGACTTGTTGCAAACTTGGAGGTTTGCAGCTTGTGAAGAACTAAGGGTTGCTGTAGAAGGCTAATACCATACTTTTTTAGTGGTGTCTAAAGCTTTTTTTTTTTTAGAATGCTACTAAATCACTGACTGAACTGTCTGTTCAGTCACAGCTCTCTGCAGTACTTGAGAATCATCACTAATTCATTGAGTTCCTTTGCCAAGTTGAAAATATTTGTAGTCTTATTATAAAAAAAGTGTTTAACAAGTTTCCTAAAAAATTGGCTGGTAAAACTTCAGTTTTACCAATGCAAATACATGCTGTCAACTCAAGTGCCTTATGTATGCTATTGCCAAGCGTTACTTATTTTTTAAATTTTTTAACCTAATATGGATACTGGGGAAAGTTATGCATCTAGGACAGTGGCTTCCCTGAGATTCCACTTGTGTTGCTCCTTTCCTCTTCTTACAACGCTATATAGGGCCTACTGATCTTAGGTTCTCACAGCTCTGCCTCCTTGCATTGCTTAGCTTGCAGACAACCACTTATTGGATGTTGAAACTGTGCTAAAGATTCAGCTTCAAAGACAGCAGAAAGAAAAGCATTTTATTTTGCATTATCACTCATTATTTACCTTCTCACTTTAAAGTGTGATGCGGGCTAAATTTAGTTGTGTTGAAGTGTTATATGAAACTAGTTTTCCTTAATCCATGACCTTATGGCTTTAGTATACTTTGGTGATAGAAACAGACTAAAGAAAAGAAACTTTCTTTTTTTTTTTTCTTTCCAACTTCCCTTCCTTTCCCTTTTGAAAATATAGCCTATAAAATTGCAGCCTATAGTTATTTATATTTTGATCCAATAGTATTTATTTGGGTTTTTTTTTGGTTTGGTCTTACATCATAAATAAAATATCTTGATAGCTTTTCCAGTGCACTTCCCTTAAATCTATTGTAATGCAATATACTGCATATTCCAACAGGTCAGGATGTATGTTAACCTTGCTAATTCTTAGATGCTGAATGAAGCATGGTATTTGTTGATATTTCAGAACTTTAAAAAATATTTAAGACAAATATGGATAACTCAGGAAGTTGTATGTTTATATTTTTCAATCCTTACCATTTGCGAAAAACTAAATATTGCTGCCTACTGGGATGCATTATTATGACATAAGCAACTTCCAAGTTCAGTGAAATAATTCTCAAACTTTTCATGTTACTATTCTTGTGTAAAGTGCTTCTGAAGCAGATTTTGCAAAGTGAATTTGATCTGTTACTCATCAATCTCCTCCAAAGCAAAAAAATATCAGCTTTTCTACTTACCCCTAATATTTTTTTTAACTATCAATGAATTTTTGGATATCTGTTTTAAGTACTTCAGCCTTTAAATTTTTATCACTTTGTTTTCCATATATATATACATACTTATTTGTAATCAGTCCTAAAGGTTGTTTATTTGGGAAGTAAAAGTAGAATTTCAAAATATTATGAAGGTAGTAGAAAGAATCATAGAAGCACTGTATAGTTGAGCTTGGAAGAGATAATATTGTTGAATACAACATTAATCAGGTCAGCCTAGAGGAGTTTGCTAAAGTCTGTGTCCTGTTCGGTTTTGAGATGGAGATTCCAGGAGCTCACTGAGAAGCCTGTTCCAGTTGTAACTGCTCTCACAAGATAAAAACATTCTATGTTTAAAGCAAATTTTATTTTATTTCCATTTTTCCTTTTTTTTTTTTTTTTGAGTTTTTGGGAAGAATCTGCAAGTGTTTTTGCTGGTGATTGTATTTTATGTAAGAAATAAATTTATGGGATGTAAATGAGAAGTATTCTACCCTACAGATGAGAAAAACTTCAAGGTAACTCCAAGAAACATGTTATTACTTTGAATTAAAGGCATCAAAGAATGAATCCTATTCTGTGATCTTAAGAAATGTGTAGTTTTACTTAGGTTTAGTTTATTCATCAGCACAGATACTGAGATACACAATAAGAACACAACACACACCAGCACACCTCCCCCCGATATCCTGATTTTTTGGTACATCAGATCTTTCAGGTTATCCTCTATCCCTGCTAGAAATAATGTGCAGAATAAATCAAGTTTGTGTTCAGTACATATTGTATGGTTTATTTGCAGAGTTTTTGGATACCTGTCACAGCTGTTGTGATTAAAAAATATTTGAAAATAATGATTTTTGTGCTGTTGAACACAGTTTTTTCAGTTCTCTTCATCTTTAACATCCAGTAGGAATTATGCATACTTGGGTAAAATCTGACCTTCTGTTAATTAAAGTCTGCCCAATGGGCAGGGAAACTTAACTTCACCCTCCCCCCCGACCTCTCTTCTCCCATTCTGCCCCCAAAAAATCAGCATTCCATGCTTCCTGAATCTTTTGAATTACTGTACTTGAATTTACTGAGATTTGCATTAGGAACTAAATTTGTTTTATTGGCATGTTTTGCAACAGGGATTTTTGAAAAAATGTTCCTTCCAAGAGGCTGAAATTCTACATCAGCTGTATTCTTCATCATTTCCAGACTTGTACCGCTTCAGCATTCAGTCTCTGCATTGCAAGACTGAGATGCTGGAAGCCTTTGTGATTATGCAGAGCATTAATATGCTGCAGGGTCTTATCCCACCTAAGGTATGTAGTGTGAATGTTTTTTACGTATACTTAACATAATGGAGATAATTTTAAGTAATGAAGTTTTGCAGAGAGGGATTCTTTGATGACTTAGAATGTCAATGGATATGCAGGTTAGTAAGGAGTACCTTTTATTTCTTTAGAAAGTAATAGCTGGGATGTGACCTCTCTCACAATCTCACATTTGGATTTGATGTTATGCACTGGTTTGCATTTAAGTACATGGAGCATGCACTGGCAGTTTTCCTTTTTTAATTTTCGGGTGATTTGTTGTTGGTTGATTCTGTCTGATCATTGAAGACATCTCTAAATTTATACATGACTGAAGACTTCTAACCTCATGTTACTAATGTCTATCAAGTAGAGTTTTCTGGCTGTTGAAAATTAAAACCTAACTCAATCCTTCAGGAGCAAGGTGGGGAGCTGACACCAAAATACTTGGAAAGGCTGTACATCTTCTCTCTCATGTGGAGTGGGGGTACAATTTAAAAGTTGTTTTTAAACTGTGCTTTTTTTAGAGAATTCAGAAGTATTTTGTGGCTTACCTTCTTTTGTGTCCCTTAGCAAGTTTTGTTTTATGGCTATACTTTACTGGTGGTGCTGCGTTTAACTTTTTCCCTGTTTCCAGTGAGAAGTCAGAATGTGGATATATTGCTGCAAAAGCTGCATGGACTTTGTGGTGATGAACTGTCAAGTGAACATAAACAGATAATCCTTTAAATTATTGTCATAATTCATGTAGGAAAGAGGAAGTAAGCCTTTTAGATGAAACTTGCGGGATTCTATGATTATATTGTTGTATAAATTTTAGTCTGAAGTCACAGAGAGGGACTCTGTATGTGAGACAGAAGCACAGACAGATGAATGAACGGAAAGGAAAATAAAGGAAGTGATGATGCCTAGTATTTCTAAAACATTAACTTAGTTTCTTTCTTATTAGGTACATGGATGCACTGGAATACACACGTTGAAGAGTATGTATATCCCAGTAGTGGTACACCAGAGTATGGCTCAATTCTTGTGCCTAATGTTGACAATGTGAGAATGGATTTCCTTATTGAAACCATAGCAAAACAGGGCAAGGTACTTTTTCTATATTTCATATCAAAGCACTGCCATCAGTACACATGATAGAAGTTTTGGATTAGCAGTAAAATATTATGTAACTGAAAAGGAAGAACTTTTTTTTTTTTAGATATATGGTGATGTTTTCAGAAGCTACTTTCATGCAAATATGCTTGAACTCTTGAATAGTCACTGCTTATAAACTATTTTGTCTTCCCCTCACCCCTTCATTTGTAGTGGAAATAACTGTAATTACAGCTGAAATTAGGTCAGAAGAGAACCAATATTTTCATATACTGATGGGAGAGGAAGAACCACATAGGTTAGGAGGCTCATGTCTGACTCTGCTGATTGATCTTTGCAAGCATAGGCAATTACAGAATTTATGTAGCTGTAGACTATGAAACCCTATTCTTCACCAAAAGTGTCACAAGCAACTGAAACTACAGATACTGAGTCTCTAGATGATTAAACCTTTTTTCAAATAATTAACTTCTTTCCTTGTTAGTTTGATTGTGCTGCCTGACATGATCATTAACTGCAAATATTTTTAATTTGTCAGGCCTGCAAAAGTCTATGAGACATTAACTATTTTACTTCTACATGTCTCTTGTTAAGAGTTCACTTTACATAACTTTTCAAGTTTCTTTTCTGTTTAAAAGCTAAATAGGACTGTTGAACCTTTGCCAAGACACAGCTCTTGTGTTTCATCTTATTTCAATGTTGTCTTTGTCTAGGCTGTCCTACTAATTGGTGAGCAAGGAACTGCAAAGACTGTTATAATCAAAGGTTTTATGTCAAAATATAACCCTGAAAGGCACATGACTAAGAGTTTGAATTTTTCATCTGCAACGACCCCATTAATTTTTCAGGTATAGCAGTGATTAATCTTCTCATACAAGATGGTTGGATTCAGAGAATGTTCTGATAATTTGCCAGGAGGATGCTTCTGAAAGTGATTCTGAACAATAAAAAAGCACCTGTTCAAATGGTCCAAGTGTTCTAATACATGATTTAAGACTTCTGTAAAAAAATTGTTCCTTTCAACTTTTTCAGTAGCTATTGAGCTGTTCTTGGACTTTTACAATACCATGCCTATTATTTTCTTCTCTTCATCATATGTTTTTGTGTCAAATATATCAGTTCTCACTAACTGCGAAGAGCTGTTAGATTTCACTGAACACCATGGGTAAAATAAGTGTTACCCACAACAATCTGTCATTAAAAGTGTGCTGTCTGCAATTTAAGTTCCAGTCATTCCAATTACTCATTAAAAAAAGTAATGCATGCTGTGCAGCTGCTCTACACACAATTATGAATGCTTAAATCCTGAACTGTACTGCCTGTCCAAATTTCTACCAAGCTAATTTGAATTATTTCAAGTTTCTTTAACCTCATGACAATATTTTTGGGGAATATTTTTAATGCAGTCTGCTATGACAGGGCAAATCAATGTCTGGGCTGTAAGTGCTGTCTATAAGCTTGATGAATCACCTATCATCTGCCTGTATAGCATAGCAGAAACTACTAACATATAATATACAAACATGCAATTTTGGTCTAAATTTTCTTAGGATGTTTTTCTTCTTTTTATTTGGCTATAAACAAAAAGTAACATATTTTTATAAAATAAATGTAGATTTATTTGGTGATAAGTGAGAGTCTGATCAGGGCATCTGAAATAGATGTGCAAGACTAAGTCAATTCTCTATTAACAATCTGGATCAGAACATTCTGTTACGACATGTGCTTTAAAATTACTCTAGCTTCTTAAAATCTTGGTCTAACTGATGCCAGTTGTGTAAGAAGGCAGAAGCATAGTGTAAGAATGCATATTTTTAGGTTTATACGGAAGAATAATTATGTATGGTTAAGTGACCTTTCACATAGGATAGAGTAAATATAAACTGGACCTTAAGAAGAACAGAATAATGGAAAGATGATGAGAGAACAGTAGTGGCAAGTCTACCATTAGGCAAAATTAGCTCATCGAGTGTACTTATATATGTGAGTTTAATTATCAATGTATGCTTTTATGAAATACATTGATACCTGCTGGAAAGGTGTTTCAGAATTACGTCTTCAATTTAATCTTTATTGCTATTATCAATTTTGGTGATAAATTAATAAAATGAAAGAAAAGCTTGAAACCTGTTCAGATTTATGAAGCTGTTAGGCATGGTTGTCTACTTTAGACACCAGCCTAGTGCTGTAGAGCTTGGGATTTCAGACATTCTAGTTGAATTAGTGCAGTAACCTCCAGCAAATGCCTTGTCTAAACCACACTTTGTAAAATTCTATGTAACAGAGCCATCAATATGTTTAAGTGATTGAATCATGTATAAAATGAAGTGCTCTTTGTAACTATACTGCTAATTGCTTTTTAACAGCGTACAATAGAAAGTTATGTGGATAAGCACATGGGCACGACTTATGGTCCTCCTGCAGGCAAAAAGATGACAATCTTCATTGATGATGTGAACATGCCCATAATCAATGAATGGGGAGATCAGGTTAGTTTGTAAAAGAAGAAAAAAGAAGACGAAAGGTTTTCTTTGTTTTCATGCTACAGTGTAAAATTGTCTTTTCAGTCATTCAGAATAGGGTGAATTTGATATGTAGCACTCTAATTTTAATCAATCTTTTTAAAGAACTCATCTTCATTAATTTGTCAGGAATTAAGTGAAAATAAATATGCTAACTGCAAGAAGCAGTTTGAGTGCTCTTTAGAACGAACATGCGTGTATAATTTTAATGATGTTTTTTAACAACACTCATTTTATAATTAAAAATAAGAAATATTTGGCACACAAATTGTGATAGGAAACTGAAATTGTGGGCAATAATTAAAATGAGAAATGTGAAACGTGAAGCCTGGGATGTAAGAAGTGTCTTCTCTGCTTAAGACAAAATGGAAGTAATCTTTATGTTTACCGACTAAGTTGTTCTGAAATTGCTTTGGAAAACGATCTTAGAATTTCTCTAGAAGCACAGCTATAGGATGTACTCTCTGTGGGGTTTTTTCAGCTTGTCAAACAGCTATGTAGTGTATTCCTTTATGGCTAAAAAAAAGGATCTTTCATTCTTTTATATGAAAGTAATTCTATGATTTCAGCTTGAAAACCATGTTTGTGATTGTTACATAGGAAATTTAATACAAATATTTTGTATCACTTGCAACATGCAAAGATGCATTAGTTTGGGCTTGATTAGAGCAAGCTGGAAATTCTGTGTTAAAAGCGAGAAGTATTTTCAAGAGTAATGAAAATCATGCAGCATTCAAGTAAAAATAAATTGTCACATGAATGACTAGTTCTAAACAAGATTAGCCCTCTACTCACACGATTTTTTTATCTATAGATTTTACCAAATGTGCTTATTCCTTGCAGTGTACTTTTATCCTGAAGCAAATAAGCAGAGGGTTAAGTGACAAAATTGTGTTACACTCTTTGTTAGGTCTTTCAAACATACGTTTTGTATTTCTTTCAGTTGTATGTGTAATATTGTCTTCTATAAAACCTGGTTATTTTACAGGTCACTAATGAGATAGTTAGGCAACTGATGGAACAGAAAGGACTGTATAACCTGGAAAAACCTGGTGAATTTACCAACATTGTGGACATTCAGTTTTTGGCTGCCATGATCCACCCTGGGGGAGGTCGCAATGATATTCCACAGAGGCTGAAGAGACAATTTTCAGTGTTCAACTGTACTCTGCCTTCTAATTCTTCCATTGACAAAATTTTTGGTAAAGGGAAACTAGCTTTGTATCCATCCCATTTTTTAAAATATTAGCTGATTTTTCCTTATCCTTCTATTTATACACATTATTGTTAAAATTAAGGCTTAATTCCCCTCTGATTTGTTTATCAGTACATTTTCCTTCAGTAATCACTCCCCACCTGCAAGATCATCAATCTGTAAGTTTTTCAGGTACAGTTACATCTCTGAAACCCTTGGTATGCTCAGATTTAATAAGAATGACATGAAGATATTTTTTTAGTGACAATGCTGGACAGTTGCTCAGATGCAACTGCTGCTAAGAATGAGTAACAAAAGACTAGACTTTCACAAAGGATGGAATCATACTGATTTCAGCAGATTAGCTATTCAAGGCTAGTGGAAACTATTTTGTGAGAAAAAGAACATTAAAATTAAAAAAACAGTTAAGAGCTAAATAACCATTGAGCTGATGGCAGAATGGTGTTAATAGTGGCTGAATCAATATTTGAATCAATTGAACACTGGAAAGCCATTTCAACAAATTTGAAAAGGTTTTGGGAATTGGAAAAAAAAAAGAACCAGAAACTTCAGATAATCATTGCTCTTGGTGTTGTGCTAATGTGTCTGAGTTAGCAATCTTTTTTTATACAGGTGTAATTGGAGAAGGGCACTACTGTAGTGAGCGGGGATTTTCAGATGATGTGAAGAAAACAGTAGCCAAATTGGTTCCATTGACACGCAGACTGTGGCAGATTACCAAGCTAAAAATGTTGCCCACACCAGCCAAGTTTCATTATGTGTTCAACCTTCGAGACCTCTCGAGGATTTGGCAAGGAATGCTGAACACTACATCGGAAGTGATCAACGAACCACAGGTAAGTGCAGCACATCAGTGACCTTATAATAATTAGTGTAGGAAAGAGGATGAAGAGTCTATCTTGGCATTTGAATTTGCTTAAAAAAAATGCAACTTTAGTGGGTTTTTTGAGGCAAAGGTGTTTTAATCCAGCTTTTATAGTACCAACTGAAATGACAACTTTGTTTCAAACGGTAACAAAACTCACTTCTTTTGTCACAATAGTTTACTTCTATCTGCTTTTCCTATTACTGAAAAATGCTAGTTTGTTTGAAAGAAGTTAGAAAATAAGTGAGAAGCAATGAACTTGCTTTAACCCAACGAAAATGCTCATATATTGATTAAAAACTTGATTAGTTCCTCTTTTCCATTAATGTCTTGAGACTTTCAGTCACTACCTAATTTCTGTCTAACATGGTTTCTGACTTATGGTTTAAAAGGAAGAAATAGTAACAAGTATTAATATTTTTTTTCACAATCCATCTTTCTTCCAGTAAAACATAATTTCTCTTCTAATTATTTTAAGGAAAAATCATTTAGAGTTTTAAGCTCTGAAACATGGAGCACTGGAAAAGCCATGTTTATGGTAAACATGGAAAATTTGTTAAATATTTGGGTTATATAATCACTTCATGTACAATGTGCATCTCTGTTTGTTGAATAAGCTCTTGAATTCTACTGCATCTAAAATTTAAACTTCAGAGTGGATCTTAATTTCATCCCAAAAATATGGAGCACTTAGATAATTTTATATATATATATATCTATACACACAATTAATTTCTTTTGAAGTGTAAAAACCAATTGGTAAAAAAATATTATATAAATTTACATATTAGTTCTGAGACTTAATATGTGTCATTTGTACAAAGTGTTGTGAAACAAAAGGTCTTCAAGGAGTACCTGGAATTTTTTCTGCTACTGTATAATAACAGTATAGAACTAAAACTAGTGCTCCTGGTATTAACAGCCTGACAGGTTCTCTTTCTTCATATGACCAAACTTAGGGACTTTAAAGGTATATTGAATCTAGAGAAGGGACAATATAAACACTTAAACCTTTTCCCTTGTTGTTATTCTCCAATTACTTTTGTAGTATTTGGCACAGTGATATCTGTGTTTGGCATGAGATTATTCATGCCATGAGGCTTATATTTTCACCCATCTTCTACTTAATGACCAGTTAGAAAAGTGGTTTATCAATATATAAACATGTTAACTGGTATGGATACAGTTTTAAGGCTGGGGAAAATCTTATAAAATCTTACGAAATGTTATTTATTTATTCTCTTACGCTTTGGAATGCTAGATTAAGGCTTCTTCCATAGTTAACTGAATATAATCTTACTATTGGGCAGAATAAGAAGATCAAGGTATCTCTTCTGAAGAACCCCCTAAATACTATTTCTTTTCTAATGTTAATCTTATTTTTAGATAAAAAAATGAAGGCAAAGCTTTAAAGTTGGTGTAGTTTCTTCACAGGCCAAATGAGTTTCTCAGTACAAGAGAGACATAGAGCTCCTAGAGTGTGTCTGGCAGAGAGCTACAAAGACAGTTAAGGGACGGGAGCACCTCTTTTAAGAGGAGATGCTGAGGGAGTAGGGCCTATTCAGCCTCAAAATGAGAAGGTTGAGGGGAGACCTCATCAATGTCTGCCAGTATCTGAAGGAAGAGCATCTGGAGGACAGAGCTATGTTCTTCTCGGTTGTGCCCAGCAATGGGACAAGAGGCAGGAACTGATTCACAGGAAGTTCCACCTGAACATGAGGAAGAATTTCTTTACTGGGAAGGAGATGGAGCCCTGGAACAGATTGCCCAGAGAGGTTGTGGAGTCTCCCTCACTGGAGATATTCAAGAGCTGTCTGTAGTAATTCTATGCCACGTGCTCTAGGATGACCCTACTCAAGCAGGGAGGCTGGACCAAATGACCCACTATGGTCCCTTCCAACCTGACCCATTCTCCTTCTGTGATTTTGTGAAATGCCTTTTTCTTTTTTCTTTTTTGTATGTAGGTGCTGATAAAACTGTGGAAGCATGAATGTAAGTGTGTTATTGCTGATCGTTTCACAACCTCAGAGGATGTTAATTGGTTTCACACAGCCCTGGCAAAACTCATTGAGGAGGAATTTGAAGATCCAAAAGCTTGGCTGAGTCATGAAACAGATGCACTCTTTGTTGACTTCTTAAGGGATGCACCTGCAATAATTGGTAAAGATTCACTCTAATAATCATGGAAATGACAAGAATAGACAAAGGGATATGAAAATCATAGATACTTGGAAACATACATAGTAAAAAATAATACTAAGTTTATGCACCAAAAGTGTCTGTTTTATCCAGTGGCTTTGAAGATAGTCTGTGTCACCAGCTGTGTCATATTTATATCATAATGGGAATTCTAAGTCTGTATTGATATCCAGGTTGTCTGTATAGGAGAGCCTTGCTTTCATTTAAATTGGTGTGGCAGAAAGACAGAGCTGCCAAATAGTGAGCATGAGTCTTTATTATTCCAAAATGATGAAGGAAGTGTGTTATGAATGACTTGAAATGGTGGGGTTGCAGTACTAGATAAAGGATAGCAACGTAGGTAACATGCCCTAGAAATCTGATTAAAAAATACTGTCTCTGGGCTAATCCAAAACTCTCCAAGAAATAACTGTTACATGATTTTTTAACAAATGATTATTAATTCCAAATTTCCTGAATGCTAGTTAAACCTCTTTAAAAACCAATATGACTTATAGCAATACATTTATGTCTTTCAAACAAAACCATGGTGTCACTGACCTCACAAAATGAACTGTGGATATTTGTCAGTTGTTGCAAAAGAACAGGAAACATTTTTTTTTTTTTTTGTGTTTAGGGAAAGATCATTTGATAATTCAGTTATCTGTGTTGATATCACTACACTGATGGAGTGCAATAAGAGACTAGAGGCAATAAGAGACTGACATGAATGGCCAGTGCTATTTGAACCTTTCCTTAAACAGTTGAAATACACAGAAGGCTGTGTAAACAGAAGATAAAGGATAGGACGTATTTAATTGGAAAGAATCAAAAAGAAGTAAAAGTAAGCTGGTGTAAGAAAGTGTCTTGGTTTGAAAAGACAGGTGTCTACTAAGGTAGGCAGGAGCCTCCCTTGAAATGGAAAATGTAAACCTCCTCCCTCCAAATTATTATAATTTTGAAATTAAGGGGCTCTCAGGCAAAGATATGGGAGTAGGAATAACAGTTCTTCACTAGTATGTATAAATACATTAAAAACATCCATACAACTTAATAGGAAAATTAAAATGCAGTAGTACAAAAAATACAGACAGTCAGAATACAACCTGACACCCTGTTGGTCAGGTTGTTGGTAGCAGTCTGACTAAATGGTGTCTGCAGTCCTCCTGGAGTAACAGATGTGGTTCTGTTGAAGCAATGATCCTGCAGAAGGGTGTAGTTTTCCTCTGAAGGTCCAGTGGTGATGTAGAACAGTCTGCAAATCTTCTTCTGGGAATCCAGTGGAAAAAGGCTGACTGTGGTGTTCCAAGTTTCAGATTATATTCACGTAGGAATATTTGGCTCCTCCCCCTGGGTGGAGCATCTCACAATGGGATGATGTAATTTTATCAGTCATGCAGTGAGACTCAATGGCCCATTAACAGAAAATGTCCCCCTGAAGGGAGGATGGGTCATGGTTTTAACAGCTGGCCCATTAGCAGAAGATATCATCCTGGAGCTATGAGGATGGGTCATGGAAGAGATAAAGATCACTTAGGCATTTACTGTTTCCCATTATGATGGAAGTTTAAGAGCAGGACTTTGGTTTTTCAGCTCTTAAATATACAAAACATGATGTCAGACACTTACTTCAAGGATCCCTATGCTCAGATTAGTAATAGGTTTACTAGTACTGCATAATCTTTTTGTCTCTGGATTCTAAAAGCACAATATGTTTGTCCCTGAGAGAAATACCTGATGACTTGGATCTTAGTCAGTTTTTAGATCTTAGCTTCAAAGGAATTGTTAGTGGTGCTATTGATCTCAAGACCCTCCACCTGTTCAAAGGTGGCTATATCAGTTAGTTTTGACATTGTTATTTAGTACTTGTAATACAAATCTTGAGACTGAAAAAGACTTTAAAATAATACATTTTGCTAGTTTCCTCTCTAAATAATGGAAAAGTCTGCCCTTTCTTAGGTTTTGTACTTGATTATACTGTCCATGGACATTAATATTTAAACTGTAGGAAAAGAATTAAGATGATATTATTCTTTTAAATGTTTCAAAACTGTAAAAGTGTCACTGCAATTTAACTCCTTGATGTATTTCTTATTAGTTTCTTATCAGCTACTAATTTGTTTAAATGTATTATTCAACTTGTAAGAAATTCATTTCCGCCTGGAATACTCATTTTGTTTAACCAGTGCTTTTACAAGTTAAAATAAGAAGTCAATTGATTTAATTATGTTTTAATCTAGAGGAGCATTGGTATGCAGAAGCAATACAGAGCTAAAAATTCTGAAATTCAGGTGACTTCAAGCAAATAAAAAACACAAATATAAAGGACATCTGAAAGAGAATTAATAATCTCTTAATAATAATAAAATGTATTTTGAGAGAGTAGGTTCTATAGTAAAATGTCATTTTCTTAAACTATGTTTTTATATATGTATTTTTGGTTTATTTTTTGTTATTGTTTTTCTGTTGTTGGTTTTTCCCTTGAAACTGCATGAGCATTAGAATGGTGCAATGGAAAGGAAATGAAGAAAAAATTTGAAACAAGAAAAAAGTTACAAACACTATTGTAAATACACTAGAGTTTGGTTGGGGGTTGGAGTTTTTCCCCCCACCTTTCTGTTCCTTACCTTCATACTCGCTTTTAGTGCTTTACTAAGCCTTAGGGAAATACTTATTTTACTGGAATAACTTACTTCATTGATTTTAATTTTACCAATTAGAGATAATGTTCTGAATTATGTATTTCTTCATCAAGTTAGAGCACGCTTAGCAAAACTGATTGATCTAGGATAACTGGAAAAATACATCCTGTAACATATATAGGTCATGAAATCCTGAAACTAATTGAGTTAAATGTATGTAAATAAGAGCAAAATTCTACTAGTATTGTACTAGTATTATTTTTCAGGAAATCCAAACCACCAACCAAAAGCCCCCTGTCTGCCTGCTGGCACCGTTCCAATGAGATTTGTCTGTTATTTATTAATGAAATATGGTCTGGATGAGAAGTGAGATGGATTGCAAATAGGCTGAATGGTCAAGCCCAGACAGTGGTGATCAGTGGCTCAAAGTCTAATTGGAGACCAGTAACTAAGGGTGTATCCCAGGGGCCAGCACAGGGTTCAGTCATCCTCAACATTGTCATTAGTGGTCTGGGTGGTGGGGCAGAGCGCACCTTCAAGCCAGTTCCTACGTGACACAGAACTAGGAGGAGTGGTTGATATGTCAGAGATTGTGCTGCCTCCCAGGTGGGCCTTAACAAGAACTCCACGAGGTTCAGCAAAGGGAAATGAAAAGTCCTGGACCTAGGGAGGAACGGCCCCGCGCACCTGTGTATACTAGTGGTCACACATCTGCAAGTCAACTTTGCAGAAATGGACCTGGAGGTGCTGGTTGATACCAACCTGAACATGAACCAACAGTGTACCCTTCCTTAAAGGAAGAAAAAACTAGTGACATCCTGAGCTGCATTAGAAGAAATGTAGCCAGCAAGCCAAGGGAAGTGGCTTTCCATTTTTTTCCCACTAATAAGGCCATACCTGGAGTGCTGTGTCCGGGTCTGTTTCTTGTTCCAATACAAGAAAGACACACATATACTGGAAAAAATCTATTTATCTATTTAAAACTTGAACATCAGTAATCACTCTTTTTTTTTTTTTTTTTTTTTTTTTTTTCTTCACTGTGGCAGTCTAGTTCAGGTTATCCAGAGATGTTGTGGAGTCTGTGTCTTGGGAGGTATTCATAAGGCACGGAGCATGGTCTTGGGGAACCAGCTGTAGGTGGCCCATCTTGAGCAAGGGATTAGACCAGATGACTTTCAGAGGTCCCTGCTGATCTCAACTTTTCTGTAATTTTATTTGCTGTAACAATTCTTATGGAAGAAGGCATGTCACCTTTCAGCATGATTAAGGTTATGAATGCAGAGATGAGGCAGCAGCACTGTTCCTTTCTTTGAGAGCTGACTTATGCCTTTCATGTCACCTAAGGAAATGAATGTATGTTAATTCACAATGAATATACTTTTTTGTTGTGGAAGTTATTAATTTCAAGAGTATTTTTTTCTAGTGCAATTATTTAATCAATTTAGACCGTATTTCTTTTACGGAAAAGATTATTTGCAATTTTTAACTGCAGTATTTATTTACCTTTATTTTCTGGTATTACGTTTTTTTCCTAGCACCTAAACAAGTATAATTTTTCTTCATTCAAGTTTCAGATACAGAGAAAGAAGGCTATTCAGGTTTTTTTTTTACATTTTGTCTTTAAAAATTATGTAGCTGAAATCACCATTTTTTGCAGGCAGGGTGTACTCTCACATGTACATCTAATATATAATATGTATAATATATCTGTTTCTGGGTGGTGAAACTTCTAGTTATCTTTCCTTACTTATCCCCTCATTGAACCTTTGTCAATTATTTAAGTTGCTAAGATTTTATTACTTGCTTTTTGTTCTAGATGAAAAGCCAGAGGAAGTTAATTTAGATATTCCCAAAATCTATGAACCAATCTCCTCATTTCATCAGCTACGGAATCGTTTAAATAAGTTTTTACAAACATACAATGAGAATGTTCGTGGTACTGGAATGGACATGGTTTTCTTTGAGGATGCTATGGTTCATTTAGTCAAGGTACAGTCTTGCTGGATTGTCATTTGTTGTTGTTCACTTTCCCCCATCTCCTTTGAGTAGAGGTATGCATGAATCAAGGTAAATTACTTATGAAACTGAAGCAAATAATTTATTGCTAATAAATATTTGATCTGTCACTCTGTGACTAGGTATTAGAACCTATTAAAAACTTTTCAGAAAATGCAGCAGATGAAACTATTCTTTCATACCTAACTTTTATGTTTGGTGGGACCATGGTGCTAGCTATTCTAATTCTGTTTCAACTTTCCTTCTTCTTAATTCTTCTGGGAGCCCTTCCTGTCTTTGGAATGAATCAAATGAAATTCAGGTTAAGACATAATTGGTTGCTTCTGAAGGAGTATGCACAGCGGAGTAGGAATTAACGTAGTCCAAAATTCTTTTGTGGATCCTCAGTATGCTCAGTAGTTTTAAAGTTCTTTTGAATATGGATTGGAACTGACCGTAACTTTTAGCGCAGCACAGCTTGATATGATTGTTCACATAGAAAAGGCCTCGTACAAAGTAGAACCTTTTTTTATGACACTAGAACCTCTATTGTCCCAGTTGAATACTGAGGTTTTCAGTATTTCTTTTAATAAATTTTTAAGAACTGAATATTTAATTGCATCATCCTCCTAAATATAATTATAAATATCTAAACAATTTAAATTTAATTATAGTTGACAAACATATTGCATCTGCAATTTTCATAATTTTGGGGTGAATTCTTATTATTTTGCAAAATTAGTCCCTTTCTTTCTAAGGTTCACTGCAGAATCGATGTTGTGCTATGCATTTCTTTAGGACAATTGTAAATAATCATCACACTTACCAATAAGTTTCTCATTTATTCCTAGAAAAAAAATCTATATAAGTTTAGGATGTAGCAATTTTTTTTTTTATCACTGAACAGCCACCTTTATCAGGAAAATCTTCTTTTGGTAGCTAGATGGTAAATACTTGAAATATTTTATTTGTCTTTGCTTAGATGAAATAAATAGGTAGTGTTTCTGTGATTCTAAATTCTTGAAAACAGGAACAAGTGTGTAGACCTGAGACAGCTTCTAAGAGAAAGTGAGATAGGCACAGTTGAGGTAATGCCTAATCTGAGCTCACATAATATGACTTGAATGAGTTAAAGCTGAGTGTCGCTCTATTGGGAATGGCGAGAAGAACGACACAGACTCTCTTGGGAGTCGATCAGGAGAATTTCTCTCAGTTTATTACCTCAGGTCTTTTTTATAGACCAATAAGTGAAAAGTACAGAAAAGAAACTCTTATTGGTTAGTAAACTAACACATCACCATCATTGGTCAGTGGGGCTCGCCACCCCTCGATCTTCTCTTGCAAGAAAACAAGGAACAGACAAACAGCACCTGCAAGGCTGTTTTCTATCTCTGAGGATTGTTTTAATTCCTCCTTATGATTTCCCAGGCCACTTTCTCAGGCGAGACCGAGAAAGCTATGTGGCCTGCAATTTCTACAGGGACCTTGCTCCCTGTTTCACAGTTATCATCCATAGCTGAGGGATATCTTAAATAGAGAACAAAATTTCCAATTAACAGTTTGTGTGCCTCTGCCTGGAAAAGATCTAATAGCCATTATTGAAATGATCTGTGATATTGCAAGGATGTTGTGCAAATTAAATTTTCTTTTTCTGGGTAAATAATAAAGAAGCCTAGAGTAAGACTTCATACTTGATTTTATCTTTCTTTTGAAACATTAACCTATGGAAAATAATAAATACATTACACTCAGTATGTAAAATAAATAGGCTTTAAATTAGAGGAAATTGGCATGACTATTTTTAATGGCTTGGAAAGAAGTAACTCAGACAAAAGGCAAGTAAATAAGTATCCGAGGTGGTTTATTGGCACAATGGAATTCTGGAGTCATCAAAGAACTGTTCAAGATAATAAAGAGAACAGAAGCCAATCCAGTGCATCATTGCTCGTATGGAGGAGACCAGCTGCTAACCAGCTGGCTGGTATTATTGTGTCTTTGAGAGGGAACTGGCTCTGTGCTGCTCTGGATATTAATGTAGGCTCTTCTGGGTACAGTGAGGGTCTGTCCACTTGCAGCTGGTGGGCTGTGGAGAAAGTTTGTCTTCTGTACTTAGACACATTTTCTCAGCATCATGTTTCATGGCATTGTTTTTTGGACAGCAGGACAAGTGTATGCAGTTCACAGTTACTGCTGAATTTTTTTTTGCTCTGAATTCTGAAGGGTCTGTTTGTTTACATTGCATAGTCCTGAACTGAAGGGAATTGTGGAGCAGTAGGAAGCTACTGCCTTTTGATTTAAAAGATAACTAATGAAGTGGGAAATAAATGTAGATCTAACTGGGGGATGTTTCACTGTGATCAAATATTCATACTTGATACTGTGCATTTTTGCAGTCAAGTAAATGAGAAGTGTAACAAGTTTCATTATAAAGGCTGTATTATTACCTGCTGCAGAGAATACTGAAAACTCTTTGTCCCGAATTTAACATGCCTGGGACATCCTGTCTTTTGGTTCACAATGAAAAGACCTGATGAGATGAGTCTTACTGAAGTTATCCAGAGGTCATGGCATTGGGGAAATTATTTCTTTCCCAGTTTGATAATTCCTCATGCTGTGATAGCACATCACTAAGAAACCACAGCTGAGATTTACTTGTACTTGGTGGGAGATGTAATTCTACTGATAACTGAACATACACAGTGATGGAATCAAATGGTTGCTATACTATTTGACAGGTCAACAGTAAATGTTACAGAGTACAAATGCCCACAGAATATATTAATAGTAATATAGAATCCCTTAATTAAACCTTTAAATTTTCATTTGTTCTTCATTTCTAATATAACTTGTTAATGTGGTAGTATAGAATTTTTGGATGTGTGACTTTTATACTTTGTAGCAATAAATGAATGGTATATTACACAGATTTCTCGTGTGATTCGCACTCCTCGTGGAAATGCTCTTTTAGTTGGAGTTGGTGGCTCAGGAAAACAGAGCTTGACAAGATTGGCGTCCTTCATAGCGGGCTATGAAACATTCCAGATAATGTTGACTAGGTGAGCATTACCTGAAATTTAACTAATTAAGTCCTTTGTGTTTTAACTCTTCCTATAAATAAAACAGGCTCATATTCTCTGCTCAACGTAGTCTGATCACCATCACATGGAGTGGGAGGACATGAAAATCCTTTGAAATTTACAAGATTTGCTTGATTTACTACAATAATAGTGGATTTTTACTGTCTTTGGAGTAGGAAATTTTTTTTGTTTCATTCACAGAGTGAGAAAGAATATTGGCAGTGTCAAGTTATATTTGAGTCTTTAAGCAGTACATTAAAGGCTACTGAAAATATTTTTAGGTGGTTATCTATCCAAAAGGCCGTTACGAATTCATCTTGTAATATTTGAAATGCCGTCATCTGAGAAGGTTGAATCTTTATCCCTGCCCTCTAATATCGTTGATCTTATATAGATATCAGTATTTTGACAACCTTTTCCAAGTACATTTTGGCCTTATTTCATGTTGTTCAACCCAGTGTGGTTTCTTTTGAAATAACTCATAAAAGATAAAAAATAAATCATAAATCCTTCTCTGAATGCCTCAGAATGACTATCTCCCCAGCTGTTTGTAGCACAGGTCAATTTTGGCACTCAAATAAGATGTAGTTTTAGGGAAGTGAAATTATTTTATGTCTTTTGCAGGTGTGTTGGCTGCAGAAGAAAGTGTAGATTCACATGTGCGAATGTCCCTTGGTGTAGGTCTCATCAGAGAATCTATCTGAAATATGCACCTTTTTGCCTTAAGTTCCAAGATATTGTTTCTAACTTAAATTTGCTTGTTGTTTTTCTTTTTTTTTACCCTTTTTGTCAGATTAATTTTTTTAAAAATAGATGAGTATTTGTTAAACTTTTTTTTTTTTTTTGTAGATCATACAACACTTTAGACTTGATGGAAGATCTGAAACTCTTATACAGAACAGCAGGACTTCAAGGCAAAGGCACCTGTTTTCTTTTTACAGACAATGAGATCAAAGATGAGTCTTTCTTGGAATACTTGAACAATGTTTTGTCATCAGGAGAGGTAAAGTGCCTCCTCATGATCAATTTTCTGCTTTTTAAAATTTATAATTCTGAAGCAAAATAACAGAATTTATTTGAATATTGTATTATAAGTCAAGGGATACACTTTCAAAAACTAGAATTTAAGTGCTTTTTATCATTAGAGTATTATTAAAAATGAGTGCGGTCTATAAAATCTACAAAATCCTAGGTTAGAGTGAGAGAAGCTATCTCAAGGGACATGAGTGCAGCTTTAAAAAAATAAAATTGAGACTGGGGAAATATTACTTATGTTTTAAAAAGTTGTCTGTGAAATTAACAGTGTACAGATAATTTTTATATGGTAAATTTATGTCCAGAGTGGATGGGATGGATTTAATTGATTTTATTTACTTATTTATTATTTCAGGATTATGTTTCAGAGTAATTGCTACTAGTTATTGCAATATAAAGAGAAGGAATCAAAGCCTTTGGAGGGTGGGGTTTAAAGTTTTACAGTAAGTTAGATTTCAGTCCATTTAATGGAATCACTTCATTAAAACTTCTTGTTTAAAGGAGTTGGTGGGTACTAATAACTTCAGTGTCTGAGATGTATGCCCCTTCCTACAATGCTGTGTATTAAAAGAGCCTTGTGCTCTATTGACTCTATTTTGGATCATCCCAAAAAGCATGAAAAAATCTTCCTTCTTCCCAAAGGTGTCAAACTTATTTACACGTGATGAAGTAGATGAGATCATTAGTGATCTCATTCCCTCCTGCAAAAAGGAACATCCACGAAGACCTCCAACCAGTGAAGCTCTGTATGATTATTTCATGACCAGAGTCCGTCAGAACCTTCACGTAGTTCTTTGCTTTTCACCGGTAGGTGAAAAACTCAGAAATAGGGCCCTGAAGTTCCCTGCTCTCATTTCTGGATGCACTATAGATTGGTTCAGCCAATGGCCTAAGGATGCTCTGGTAGCAGGTATGTGTAGGTTTTATCTTTGCAGACACATAATTTTCTGATCAGTGGTCAAGTAGCTGTTTTAATTGTGTTGAATTTTGCCGGAAGAAACTTACTTGATTCCAAAATTTTCTTCTTTAAAGCCTGTTGTATTAAGCTGTTGAAATATTTCTAACACAGGAATGGTTTTGAACACAGTTTGATGAAAAATTCCCTGTGAAGATGTCTTAAAAGCATTTGTAAAGAAGACAAAGATGCTACTAAAGAAAGAGTGTATTTGTGAATGTGTCTGTGATAGGGTATACAGAGGAAGGCTGTGCTTACCTAGTCCCTGGTAGGTAGCAGCTAGGTTCAGAGTAAAAATGCACTTGCACACTTTGGAGATGAAAGAATGCCAGATCCTTGGCTATGCTTTTTATTGACAAGTGTAGAATAATTTTCAGATTCTGATAGTGAAGAGTAAAGAAGACTGGGTTTTCAGAAGCTGGGTGAAAGCCAAGATAATACATGCTGACTTGTTTTATAGTGAGTTGTTTATAAGCTAATATGTTTTTGTAAATATTTACTTACATTTAAGCTTTCTTCCTTTCTTTCCTAAGTATCTGAACACTTTCTGTCCTCATTTGATATGGACTGCACTGCTGATATCAAGAGGGAAATTGTGCAGTGTATGGGCTCATTCCAGGATGGAGTTGCAGAAAAGTGTTCTGATTACTTTCAAAGATACAGACGTTCTACACATGTGACTCCCAAATCCTACCTGACCTTTATTCAGGGATACAAAACCACATACAAAGAAAAGCATGCTGAAGTGCGAACGTTATCAAACAGGTAAACTACTCAGGTTACTTCCGCTTTTCTGTAATTTTCTTTCCCAGGTAGGCATATTCTGATATGCTTATGTTTCAATGCATGGCTTGTCTCCTTGCACAGTAAAAAAAAGGTATTTTTAATTCCTAGAATTATGTGAAGGTGTAATTTATTCAAATATTGTAGTTTCTCTTGTCATATAAGCTAAATATTTTATATATTTGGAGGTGATGCATGATGCAAAGGAGTAGTGGTGCATGAAAACAGAGGTAGAGAGAAAATGACGTGGACATAAATTGGTGAACATAAATTGTACCTGTGTGTTTTTAAAGAGTCAAAGAAGTTATCTCCATGTAATTTCATAATATATTGAAAATAGCATTTAATTTGCCAGGCAGCAACTTTTGTTTTCTTGCTGAACACCTGTAGCCTCCTGTTATGAAGGCAGAAGGAGTATCTTTAGTCATTTTATGAGCACAGAGCCTCACTTAGACTCCTGAGCTTTTTACCTGTAGATTATTAAAGTGGTTTTGATATACTTATTCCTATTTTCAGATGCTTTATTAAACTAATAATATCTATTTGCAGATATATCTTCATGTCAGGAAAACCCAACTATAATATAAAATTAGCAATTAATGTATGAGTTGGTGTCACCCTAAAGAAAAACTGGCTTCTCAGTTTTGAGGGATTGTCAAAAAGAGTTGGAAGCCTTAAAGAAAGGCTTAAAAAACCAATTTATTTTCCTTTGAAACATTCTTTGTCTTCAACGTCAAATTGAGTTTGAAACCTGTAGTTATGTTAGGGGTGAAGGCTTGTAAAAGACAAGGGTGTTGCCATGTTTTCTACCTTCAGATTTACCAAATTAGTTCATGAAGTCAAATTTCTTCCACATAAATTTAGTTGCACTGTCTGAATTGCTTTGTCAGGGGTTACACTTTGTCTGTTCTCCGATATTTGTTCAGCTGTCTGAGTACTGCATAGCCTTTGCAATAGCAGCCTCTGTAGAGGTCCTTAAAACTTGTCTGAAAAGTCCCAAGTGAAGAATTTTTGATAGAAAAAAATCACTGTTGAAGGGGAATTTTAATGCTGAATCAGATAGGTCTTACCTCAATGTTATTTTTCTTTTACTCTCTTTTGTTTGGTCTTGGATTATTTTCAGTGCCCACTTAAAATAAGAAATATTGATTTTTTATAATTTTCAAAATTTTGGTAATCAGAAAAAGCTTTCTGCTGTACAGGACTCTGTTCTTTGAGCATTGGCTCAAGAGAGACAGTGATATTTATAGAAACGAAGTGTAGGATTTTTATGCAAAGATAAAGACATAGTCGTTGATTAGAAGTGGGTAAAATTTCAAGCCACAAAATTTATTAATGTACTTTATTGTCCACTTTATTGATTCTGAAGATATGAGAAAGGTGAAAGTTCTTGTCCAAGTTTCATATTTGGCGTAAAACACCTTTTGCAAGCTTTCATTCTGGTTGATGTGATTCATTCTATAGATGGAAAGTATAGTGTAAATTGTGCACCATAGCGAATGAGATGCTTTTGATTTTGCTTTTTAACTTCAGAATAAATACTGGTCTGGAAAAATTGAAAGAGGCCTCTGAGTCAGTGGCTGCTCTAAGCAGAGAACTGGAGGTAAAAGAAAAGGAACTTCAAATTGCCAATGAAAAAGCTGACATGGTATGTACAGCCTTCAAAGTGTGTTGCTGTTGAATTTTTTTTTCTCCTTTTATTCCTTCTATTTTGAAGAGATCAATCAATTTAAATGAAGTTAAGTGTTGTAAAGAAAGGGTCTTGGAGAGAATGATCCTATTTGACTTTTCTGGAATTGGGCAGACATGATTGTGTAACAAAAACTCTTTTAACTACGGCATGTGGGTTTTCTCACATTCTAGGTATTGAAAGAAGTTACTGTAAAAGCACAGGCTGCTGAGAATGTGAAGGGTGATGTTCAGAAAGTGAAAGACAAAGCGCAAGCAATTGTAGACAGTATCACGGTTGACAAAGCCATTGCTGAAGAGAAGTTGGAAGCTGCCAAGCCTGCTTTGGAAGAGGCAGAAGCAGCCTTACAGGTTAGTACTTGGACCCTGTGTAACATTACCACTGAGAAAGTGGATGTCTTTGAAATACAAAATTGCAGGCATATTGCATAACTCTTGGCAAAAAATAAATACATGTATTTTGAGACTTGTTGGATTCAGTTTTGTTTTTCTTTTTTCATGTGAGTATCAACACCCAAATAGTCAGTTTTCAGAAAAGGGAAACTTTTAACTTTCTTTGAAACTGTAATTAACATTACATGCGCTACAGGCTGATGTTAGACTAGTAACTGAATATTGATACAATATTAAACAGCTTGTGTACACTGAGTGAAGTGCTCTCCATATAAAATCAGTTGTAATTCCATCTAAATCCAAACCTTCTATTTTAAGTTTTCACAAAGAAATTGCATTTTCAGTAAGTTTTCTGGTCCATTATTTTCTATATTTAAAAAAAAAATATTTTCTTAGGAGTTGTGGCATTACCAAGACTGCATTTCCTTCACCATACTTTTCTTGTAAAGCTTTTTTAATAGAATGCCCATATATTTAAGATTTAAAAAGAATAATATTAATTGGTCTTGCATACTATTTATTTTTATGTCTGCTCAGCTGTCTTTATAGAATGTGCCTCAAGACATTTTGCTTCAAGCAGTAGTAGTGGAATCTAAAATATACCTGTTAGATGCATGCAGGGAGCTCACATCTCAAGAAACATAAAAGTATGAAGAAAAAACCTGAAGGATAGACAAACCTCAAAGGGTTTTATGTGGATTTACTGGAAATTATACCTTTCCATTTGAGAGGCTGCCAGCAGTTGTAATGGTTAAAGACTGGTTTGAAAGAATGGCATTTTAACTTTGAACTCTAGGGTAGAAAAATTTTATGGGTCTTCTGAATGTAAATTTCACCTTGAGTGAAAGATGTTTAACAGTCTCTGACTGCCATGATGCTTAAAGGACAGAGTGCAAAAGTCTAAATAAAGGTTGATGACCTGACAGCTGGGAAGAGTGAAATAAAGGAGAAGGTTTGTATTATAAGACCCTGATATATAGCCACAGGGAAAAGGTTAAAGAACCAGCCACAACAAAACCTGGTAGCAGGCAGGCATTCTGACAAGTGGAAAAATAAGCAATGTTAATTAGTCAGCATCTACAGTATAAAGAGGGCACCACCATCCTGTGTCTAGACATATGTCTTATTAAAGCTTACTTTCTGCTTTTGACTGAAATGGCTGAACTAAAACAATACTGCTCTGGAAATGTAGGGTGCTAATAAATGAAAACCTGATTTCAAGAAAAAACAACACTGGCATTATTGTAAAACTTCTCAAAGGGAAAAAATATTTGGGCTTAATCTTGAAATTATTGAATTTTCTGTAATAAATTGCATTGCCTATGTCTAAAGGGGAAAGGCAAACAATCACAAAAAGAGATCTAGTAGAACATGTCTATGTATTCTAAGCCTCCCTCCCTCCCTGCCTTCTTGCTTTCCTGCCTGCCTTCCTGCCTGCCTTCCTGCCTGCCTTCCTGCCTGCCTGCCTGCCTGCCTCCCTCCC